CTCCATCCAAACTCAGGTGGGTGGCATGGCGGCTGGCTACCATCTGAAGACAATCCTCGGCATCTTAATGTCTCTTTGCAATGACCCTCACCCGGTGGTCCATTTCTGGGCACTCGAAGCACTATCACTCGCATCCGATGCTTCGGGGCTAAGTTTTGCTGGCTACGTCCCCAGCACTTTGGGCATGCTCGTTCAGCTCTATGTTTCAGAAACCCATCATGCCGAGATTTCCTCCGCAATTACAATGAATCTGGAGCTCGAACTCTCCACAACATCCGCTATCGCTCGTTGCGTTGATTCGCTCATTAACGTCCTAGGTCCTGATCTGCAGGATGCCACGAAGTCAAGAGAGCTTATATTTACTCTTGTTAACCGTTTCCGTGAGGAAGATGATTTGTTCGTACAGCGGGCTGCGCTAGGCTGCCTTGAGCATTTGTCCCTTTACGCCCCTGGACATATGCAATTCGCCGACTACGTCAAGTTGCTTCAAAAATATCTGATGTCTGAATCCACCATCTTACGAGATGTATCAGTAGATGGGATACACAATATGATGAAACGGAACCCACAGGATGTCCTCAGAGAAGCAGAGACCGGATTTGAGGAACAGCTGTGGCTAGTCCTTGACACCGTTCCGTCTCATGACGGGATTCGCAACATCATCCGCAACTGGATGCATCATACATGTCTGACGGAGACCAATGCTTGGCTTCAGCGGTTCCAGGCTGTACTCAAGATGACAAGAGCACGGCCCAAGACAGAAGATACCCAATCTGGATCTAAAGGCAGTGGCTTACCTGACTTGCAAGACGAGGAGGTTGCTGGATTCGCTGCTGCAGCTGGTGCTGCTAAGGATGAGAAGGAAACTAAGGCCACTTCTGAAGTTGAACCTTTAAGATGGCAGGTAACGACCTTTGCACTGAGCTGCATCGATGAAATGTTCTTGATAATTGCCAAGGACGTTACTGCCAATGGAGAGTCCAAGGCCCAAAGCGATCTTCAGGGTAAGGTTGCAGATGTCGTCCGCATGGCGTTCTCTGCGTCAACCTCTAGTGTCCTGGAGCTCCGTATCTGGGGCTTGAAGATCATAGGAGACGTACTCAAGATGTTTGGCAAAACACCCGATCCAGACTTTGAAGAGGCGATGTTGCTGGAGCAGTATCAGGCTCAAATCAGCTCCGCCCTTACCCCAGCATTTGCTGCCGACTCATCACCCGAACTTGCTTCAGAAGCAGTCAATGTCTGTGCTAGTTTCATCTCAATCGGTATTGTCACCGACGTGGATCGCATGGGCAGAATTCTCAAGACTCTTGTCAACGCTCTAGAGAATTTCTCCAAAGATAGTGAGAACGCCGCGATTGGTGACCTGAAAAGCCTGAGCTCCAATGCGCAGGTCATGGTAAAGATATCTGTGTTCTCTGCTTGGGCGGAGCTCCAGGTTGCAAGCTCAGAGCAGAAATATCTCCTGGATGTGCTCAGACCTCACATCGGCACATTGACCCCCCTATGGTTGGAGTCCCTTCGTGAGTTCGCACGACTTCGATTCGAGCCTGATATTTCGATGACTTTGGGACCCCCTTCACTCTCCGGGAGTCTCGATACAATCTATGCAGCTCTGAACCGCGAGACATTGCTGCGCTTCTATCAGGATGCCTGGCTGAAGTTGGTAGATGCGATTGCCAGCCTAATCGAACAGGATAGCGAATTTGTGTTTGATGCCCTCGATGGAAAGGAATTGGATGGTCCCTCGGCCAGCGGCAAGAGCAAGAATTCCGATATCAATTACAGAGACGAGCCTGTGGCATTCTTCTTTGTTCTGTTCGGTCTAGCCTTCGAAGCGCTTGCCACGCGTTCTGGGCAAAGCGATTCTTTGGCTACACACGAACAAACGCTGGCCATCCTCCAAGCCCTCAAGAAGATCCTCCACCCAAGTGTATCTGGCCATGCTATCTACAGGCCGGATGTGTTTTCCGAGACTATGGACTTATTGGATCGCCTAGTGCTCACTGAGAGCCTCGACGTTCAAGGTGTGATCGTGGAGATTGCTAGCGTTCTATGCATTGCGCACCCTTCTGCAAGGAGGCACGCCACTGAAGAGGGCGACCTGTCTGATGATATCGACCAGCTCTTCGAGCTGACGCGTATCATCGTTCTTGTTCTTACAGGGCTTCTTCCAAATCTTTCCGAGGGGAATCAACCAGCCAGGCACCAGATGAACGAAGAAGCTATTCTTCTCATACGGTCATCTCTAAACGCGCTGGTGGATGCTGCAGAGGTCTTTCCAGCTATCATCAAGACCGATCTGCATGCCTGCATCATACACATCTTTGCCACAATTCTATCAACGCCTGGTTGCCAGGAGCTCATAGTCCCGCAGTCCCTATCCACACTGAAGCGTTTCGTCGGTAGCATGTCCAAGTCAAGAAGGAATCACAGCAATGGTGAGCCGTCGTCCACAGATATCCAATTGCAGGGATGCCTGCGCCGATTCCTGTCGATATACCTCAACGCACAGAAGCGTGAGGCTCCTCAATCCCTTACTTGTGTGAAGAACTGTCTGCTGGCTACGACAATCCTCTTTACTGGAGGCCAGAATCACCTTCCAGCTTCTGAAGCTCTTGTGGCCCGTTATCTTGAAGAGTTGATGGACTGTCTCACTGATCGAATGGTATGTATCCAGCTCACTTCCACCCCCACTCTGTGAACATCAACTTACAACTGCCTGTTTTAGACTGCCAAGATCGCGGCCAACTGCATTAAGTCGCTGCTGCTTCAACCATCCCAGACCAGTGCTGATCTCAGCATTGCTCGTTACCTGTTCCCCCGACTTGTAGCCTTTGTGACTGATACAGACCCTGAGGATCCCGAGAATGCTAGATCCTTAATTGCCCAGACTCTTTGCCAATACGTGGGTACGGGCGTTAGGGGTCGACGTTTGGCCGCTATGACAGTGGTAATCCCAACACTGATGGCCCGAGCAACAGCTGAAGGCGAGGAGGTATACCAAGAGACTAGCGCACGATTACTCGAGCTTGCCGCGATAGATCAGGAGACGTTTAGAACGGTAGTAGGCGGCATGAGCGATAGTCAAAAAGGATTCCTCGAGGAGGTGATTCGCTTTGGCCGGCAAAACACAGGCCAAGTGAGCAAGGCAGCGACAGGAGAGTCCGGGCAACCAAGTATTGCATTGAAGATGGACTTTGGGGGTTGATTTGACATTTCTCTCACGCGGTGCCTACAAGGGTAGGCCATGAGGTCGAGACATTATGAGCAAAGTACAATTCCCAAAACTCAGCAGCATTCCTTCTTGGCAGGCTTAAATTATGTTCATCCTTTAGTCGGACATGCATACCTATTACAAAAGATGATGAAGACCGCACAAGACCACAAGCATCTATGCTGAGACCGCCAGGGGCGTGTGACAGAAGCAAAAGCACCGCTCGACGTGCTAGACAAGTTGACAGGGGATGACAACGGGCGATATGGCAGCACGTGTCAGACAGGCATCGACCTACAGCTAAAGCCTGAGACGGAATGATTCGATACGATACGATTCAGCTGGCCTAACGGCCGGCGTCTCCACGATGGACAGACTGTGGAGTCACTTGTCATGTTACACAAGGATCGCTGCAGCCTATTCGCACAAAGTTCTGGGCCAACATGAATTGCATTGCATTGCACTGCATGTGCGTAGCGCCAGTCACTGTACAGTATGTCCGGGGCTACCGGCAATATGCCGTGCTATCGATATCGACTGCATACGATAGCATCATGCAAGTCTAAAAGTCTCGGAACTACCAATCAACAAGGTTCACTGTGTATGACATGGGGACGGGAAGGGAGACTGACAGAAAGGGGTTATGCCGGGGCTTTTCATAGATGCAATGGAATAATACGATCAATGGTTACATATATGATTATGGGTGGCATTAGGACACACCAAGATACAAGCACGGTCGCTGTGGCATCGGTTTCTGATAAAGCACCTGTGACCTCCTCGATCATGTGGTGTGCGACAACAGCTCTGTTGTTTTGCACAGCCCTCATCTCCCTACTAGTGGCAACCCAAGACATAGTGCTAACGCGATAGCCCTACGAATTTTCGGTTCGAGGTTCTTAATTTTTAGCTTCCAAGCTAACATCAACTAGAGCTGGTCCACGAGGGAATAACACCACGAATATTCGGAGGTTGTACGCACCAGCTTCTGGGACATCAGCAAACACGGCCAGGAATAACATAGCCGTGACGAACAAGGTCCATACACTGGGCAATGCTAAGTTACCTAGAGCAGCGAAATAGGAAACCCCATCGTGAGGGAACTCCACTGAAGAGAAGCACAGGTAGCCGTGCATCAAACAGTTGAGGTGAACGCCAGTAAGGGCTGGTTTGTTTTACGTTTCTCTTTTGATCCGTTTGGCCAGAAAGCCCGAATTAAAAGACAGAGGAGTGTCGGTGAACCCTCCGCAGAATCTTGTTGGTGGTTGGAGGTTCTGGTGTCACCATGGCTGTGGGCAATGGTGCATTCATTGTAGAGATGTCAGATATCAGGGATGTTTTCTTTTCTTTTTCTGACTTCTCCACGTAATCTGGTCTAGATATTATCTGACCTTTGAGGATGCACAGCCTTTGCAAGGATTAATGATTTGGGCTTGCTGGATTAGTGTCACCAACAAAAGGAGCTGTGACGTTTCCTATAGCAGGCCCAAGTGACAAAGATTTCACTGACATGCAGCTCTCTGACCTTGTGTCAGACTTGAGTGCTGGGTACGCAGTACAACATGCCTATGCACTCTTCAGCTAGGGCAAACGTAACAGCAAGGATAATCCAACTCCTCGTGCTTGTCGGGGTTGTCACAAATTCCAGCTCTGACCCGTCCGTCACTTGTTGCTCAGCAGTCTTGAATATTTACTAATTCGTAGAAGTGTGACAGGAATTGCTGAGAGAAATAGGCTGAAAGGTTTGAACCATCTCCATTCTATTCAAGAGTAGTATCTAATATCAGTGCTTGTCATGATGATGGGAAGTTCCATCAGCGATGACCGGCTTTCCATCCTTGACGTTGATCTTCTTTTCGGTGGATGCCTTTTTCGACGACAACTTCTTATCCACTTGCGACCCCGAAGTTTTCCTACTCGAAGACGACTTCTTTTCTGTTGTCTTCTTCTTATCAGATCCCGTTGAGCTAGTCCCCTTGTTCTTTGACCTTTGGGGCTTCTCGTTCCGTCTTCGGCCATCATCTCTCCTGCGAGATGGAGTAGTTGGTACACTTGTCTCGCTCCTCTCAGAGTCGGCCCAGGTTGACGATTCATGCGAAACGCTGGGCTCCGTAGGCTCTTCCACCTCTGCATCCTCCCGAGTGGGTCGCGCTATCATTCTTCTGCCTTGGAAACGTGCTTTGTTGAACTGCTCTACTGCAATATTCGCTGCCGAGACGTTTTCAAAAACGACAAAGACGTAACCCCTGAGGTAATTGCTGTCGTTGTTCTTGGGGATCTCGATCGATTCAATCTTGTCCTGGTCCACTTTGCGCTGAACCCAAGATTTGACTTCATCGGCTTGCGCTTGTTGCGGGAATGGCGACACACATAGCTTGCGTGTTTCCGGTACCACGTATTCCGACCTATAGGATGGCTCGCCGCTGGAGAAACTACAATTCGGGTAGTAACCGGGATGCTCACTAATACCGCGATAAGGAAGAGCAAGCTGACTCCCTTCATGTTGATATTGTGGAGAGTACGAGAATGTACTTGGTTTCAGAGGAAGAAACCGAGTAGAGGTATCATTGTATGTGTAGTAGCTCCCCGGGCTGGCAGCTGCATACGTTGCCGGAGTGTTTGTGCTTACTGTGACTGGTGGCTGCTGCGCGTAGCTTGGGTTCGAGAAAGACTGATTGGCGAATCGGGAGCTGTTGCCAGGAGGGTAACTAGTTATGTAGTACTGGAATCAAAGAGTCATTACTAGGTTCTCTTCATAGCTTGTGTCTTCAGACAGGCCTGCTTACCTGCCCAGGTGTAGCAGAATACTGCGGAGACATAGCCACAGGAGTTGGCAGCACATAGGGGCTGGGAGGTGTGTGCTGATACTGTGGTGTCTGTGAAAGGACAGCTTGGGGTGGTGCAGCAAGTTCCTTGATCTTGATGGAATGGTTACGGTTCCTGTCGGACGCAATGATCGAGCGACCTTTGAAAACACCACCGTTTAGAAGGCCTGCTACCACATTAGCTCTGCGAGATATTCGCCTTGCGAATATATGCTCACCCCATGCCCTTTCAAAATTCTCTCTACCCCTGACTCGGACCCATCCTGAGGTACTACCCTGGAAGACCTCGATATGGTCCACTACGCATGCTGTACGTGTCCAATCTTTCAGCTCCTGCCATGAAGTTGCGAATGGTAACTAAAAGAGTGGTTAGCTTTGTTACTGTAGCACAGTTCATGATGAATAGGAAAAGACCGTGCATTGCAAATAGTGATGTAGTAGATACCAGTCTCATCGCCGGGACCAACGTCCGCTTGGACTGTAGCTTCGGCAGGCATAGGTTGAAAGAATCTGCACGAAGCCGAGGTGTTTTCAATTCCGAGCAGAATCTTGTGCGATGTTACAAAAGTTTGGAAAGAAAGTCAAAAGTTGTGTGACGAAGATACAAGAAGCAACTGGGAGTGCGCACTAGAAAAGTGACAACTTTGAACTTAATCAACAGTAGTATCTCGTCACTGAGTCACGCTCTGAAAGAAGGCTCTTGGAAGCTTCGAATCAGGCTCGATCATAATGTGAATCAATGGCAAGCAAAGGCTGTATGTATGCTTTATATCTAGCTTCTCGCAGCAGCTGGCATGAGAGCGGCAAGATAGAAGCAGAAGAGACAACAACCCGCCTAGGCATCTTCCAAACGTTGCTTTTGAATCGTTCTTACCAGCTCTGGATTCGCTTGCATTCGATCCCAGCACTCGGGCCTTGATTTGGGCCCCCGGGGGTCCGGAAAGGACACAAAAAGATGGGCATTTGCAGAGGCACATATCGTCTCAGCATTGAGAGAACGCCGAGAAACGTTGAGACTAACAAGTCTGGATCTGGCAAGCTCGCCTCCTCCTGGATGATTAACGGTGCAGTGTAACCCGAGATCCTTGTCGGCGTTTCGACATGCATCCTGACTCTCAGCCTCGAGATGTGGGGTTCCAGCTAGGGGCAGATCGCCCGAAATTGTAGGGTTTTAATGTCGTTGCGGAAGTGAGGGTGTTCATTTCGCGCTTGGACGCTAGGTAGAAATCTTCAAAAGGTGCAGGTTCTCGTAGACATTGTTCCTCAACTCAGCTTCATGCCCAGGTACTGTAGATCGATCCAAGCCACAGGCCGTGAATTTCTAGGCATGTCTCTCCCTAGTCGATATGCAGAGGACCGGGTTGAGTCCCGCATGAGATAATGACATATCATATTGCGATCACTGCTCCACCTTTTGACGAAATATCAGTTAGTTGGTTGTTAGTAGTGACAGATCCATCGACAATCATGACGGTGATCGAATGGCCCGGCACAAGGTACCAAAGTTCTCTCTTGATCTCACAGTGAGAAGAGCAGCGGCAGCCTGTAACTTGAGGTCTCTTTTCGCAACCAAACGCGCATGTCGCTTCCCCGGCGCCAACGAAACGTGGATTCGTTGCTTATTGGGGGTGCAATTTGCAAGCTGTTGCTACCACGAGAGAAGAGGAAACTACACGCCTTTGTGACAGCCTTGTTATGCAGTCATGCCCTTGACATCAAATGGAAGCGCCATTTGTGTAACAATGACCCTAGCCACTGGAAAATGAATGGCTCGACTGTAAGATATCATCTCCGATAGAGTCCAGCCTTGTCCTTGCATCCTTTTTAACCTTCCACGTCCCAAGCCGTAACCATTTCCTAACGGGGCGTGATTTAGTTTGTGCGTACAGAGGTGGCCCTGGCGACACTACCCCTACACGTGCTTGAAAGAGAAGGTATCGTCCAAGGTAGATGTGTCGTCTGGCATCAAAGCAGATATGTCGACAGTATCTCCAAGATCCTGTACCGATCCCAGGGTTCTGTCACCAACCGCCCCTTCACGCCATGGAGTTGGGCATTGTGCCCCATCTGAGAACGATGACAAGACTCCGTTTTGCGTGTCTGAGATCATAAAAACCGGGAATTCGGGCTCACTGTTGATCCAGGTTGTTTTAGTCCTTCCGATAATCTTGCCGTTTGGTAGATGAGCGCCCAAAGAAACTGGCTTGGGTCCTTCGGACAGCGGATCCCAAACGAAGGACACACCGCGATACTTTTCATCTTGGCATGTCACCAGAAGAAGCTCACGAGCAGTGGGATGCCATTGAAAGTCCACGGCTGAGTGAAACATAAGTACTGCCCGGAGCTCAGCTGCGGTGACATCCCAGATCCACAGCGTGGTAGGGGTATCATCAAGCTTGGTAACTAACAGAGTTGAAGATGCGTCAAATGCCAATGAAGAGCATCCAGCTCTCACCTCGTTAGGGATCTTACCGTCGATCAGTCGGTTCGGAGGTGCAACCATCTGGTTCGCACGAAGAAATGAGTACGGACTCCCTCCATGGGACGAATCATTCAGCTGCTCCTGCCAGACCTAACAGATTTCGTGAGAATAGAAGCAAACCGTAGATGAAGTGAGCTCACCTGCAGGGTGTCCTTGGGGACAACCGTAGTGGGATGTACAAGTTTCAGGCCACCTCTCCATGTCTGCGTGCTGAGAGCACCCACTGTCCTGCTGCCATCGCCCATGGCACATAATGACGCGTCAGGACTGAGACTGCAATTCTTGATCCCCGTCTCGAGGTCGGCATCCTCGCCTCCCGTGATGCTGGACGCCCCAATGGAACGGAAAGGCTGGCCGTCAGGTGTGTAGAGCAAGAGCTTATGCCCATGTGCCGGGGCCTCCCACAGCAAAAGCCATTGGCCGTCGGGGGTCCATTTCAAGCCATGAGCGTCGACTGTTTCCGGGTACCAAGATCGCAGAACCTGCCTCGTTTTTGGATGGTGGATACTGATAGCGTCTCGACCACTTGTCCGGGTCAGGATGGCAAGATGTGATGTCCGGGGTCGTACAGAGAAGCCCCTGGGGGCGGACGAGGGGAGGTAAAACTTAGGGTTGCTTATCTCGATAGCTTTAGAAGTTGACAGGTCGAAAATGGAGAACTTGAGGCCAAATGCAGCACAAGCAAAGACCTCGTCGTCGTGGGCGCCAAACTGCACGAGTGTCTGCTTTCCACCTCCAACTGCAGGGTTCTTGATCGTGGCACGAAATGACGAGTCAAGTATTGACGAGACATGAATCTGGTCGGCACTTGCAACAAGGATACGAGACGATGAAGGTGACCATGCGAGCGTGGTTACAGGGGTCGTGAGATCTGGGGGCAATTTGACCACATGCGCGATCGAAAGTGAGAGAGCCAAGCGCACTGTGATGCCCTGCGATGATAGGGTAGCAATAAATCTTCCGTCAGGGCTGGCCACGCAATGAGGTGATGCTGCGAATACTGGTTAGTGTTCAGTGTCTCAGATGTTGTCTAAAAGGAAGAGAAGGGGATCCGAGAGGGAATCAAGATATTCTAGAATTGGTATAGTAAGGTAGATATCTACCTTTGAAGACACGTGAGGGATGCATCACGACTGTCACCTGAAGAAGGGTTGCAGATGGGAAGTGAGATGAAAGCAGTCTGGCAATCGAATCGTGGGAGCGGGGTTATAAAGTGGTTGACTAGGTAGGTACCAAAAGACATAGGAGAAACCTAGTGCCTGGCTCGTTGAATGGCTTGCTTCGATCTACCAAGTTCTCTTCGTGGTTTGATGGTCTTTAGGATCCTCTTTGAGTGGCTCAATTCTTCAATATATTGTAATGAGGAAGCAGTTAAAGGTTTGGGATGTTTTAATGTTTTGATATTTCCTTATATGGCCTAGCGTCACAAGCTATCAAAGGGTTCCTGATTTCAATAGATACCTAGGTATATTGCTCAAGGAATTTTATTTGCGGGTATCAGTTATCAGGATAGTCACTAGTAATTTATTCAATACTGAAAGTTTAGACATGCCAGTCTAGAGTGATGTGTTGGGTGAGTTCCGAAACAGGCGGTTATATGGATCACAAACCGTATAGACTGGCTTGGGGTCATGTGTCTCTATCGATGTCCATAGCTATCTTCAATAGTCAGTAGTGTATAGAGTAGACTTGAGTTAGACGGTAGTATAGATTTATATCATGTTTATTTATACCTGAGCGGTCTGGTTCTCACATCATCCGCAGGGTTCCCCTGCTCAACAAACTGTGGTTCTTGGATACCGATGCGGAAATACCAATTTACGTATGACCTGGCGCATCATGGGAATATTCTTATTCATTCATAGGTCAGCTAGTGTTTCCTAATTGGTCATCAATTTAGGGTCCAATATGCTATGTCTTATACACACCAACAAGTCACATGTAAGCAATCAAAGAACTCTCTAATTCTTCTCGAATATAAGCAACAGCCAATTTTACGTCGAACGAGTAGTCCACCTGACTAGAATCCCTGAACTACAACATCATGAGTTCAGGCCGAACTGTCACCGACAAGTGATAGTATCTTGTCATTCGAACTAACATTATGGTTGCAGTCTGTGCAACTCCGCGGCTTAGACTAATGTGAGTGAGATTGAGACTGGAGGCTATTTCCATTACTCAGCGCGGGGATCGGATTGTGGCGAGCGGGCCCATGATAAGATTGGATAACTGAAGAGGAACAGACACTTCATAGTTGCGTACCTATTCTACCTATCTGGGTCATGATTGGGTTGGAACTATTGTTAAACGAAGCGCCGACGGCCGACAGAGACACCAAGTCAGCTTATTTATTACAGACCTTACCTATCCGTACGTTGCCTTATTTCACTTACCAACCTCTTTACTCTCGTCTCGTCGTTGTCGCATCGTGATTGCGATAGCACGAAACAATGGAGTCATAGCAAACGATCCCCTTCATATACAAGCATCTTTCTTCCTCCCACCTTTCAAATATATAACTATCACAACGCCTCAGAATTATGCCGTTGCTTCGCACTTTAGGCTCGAGAGCTTCGGTCTCAGCCAAGGCTAAAACTACCCTGCAACGAACCATTGGGACCCCGGTTCCTCAACGAGTGCTGCTGGCCTGTCCCTCTAGAGCCATTGCGACAGCTTCTGCGAGGCCCCAAGAGACACCCCGCGAACCTCCCTCTACAACACCAGAAATCGACCTCCTACAGTCTCCCCGCCGGCGCATCCGAGACCCGAAACCCTTCTCCGACTTCCTCACCGATACTTTCCATCGACAACATGATTACCTTCGTATCTCTGTCTCGGAGCGCTGCAATTTGCGATGTGTCTATTGCATGCCTGAAGAAGGCGTGCCATTGTCGCCAAACCGAGAGCTCTTGACGACACCGGAGATTGTCCTCTTGTCGTCCGTATTTGTCTCGCAGGGTGTAACTAAGATCAGATTGACGGGGGGAGAACCGACCGTGCGGCGAGATATCCTCCCTCTGATGCACCAGATTGGAGAGCTGCGACGACATGGCCTTAAGGAAATCTGTATCACAACCAATGGCATCTCTTTGCACCGGAAGCTCGACAACATGATCGAGAGTGGACTGACGGGTGTCAACCTGAGCCTCGACACTCTGGATCCCTGGCAATTCCAGATCATGACAAGGAGGAAAGGCTTCGAAGCCGTGCAGAAGAGCATCGATAGGATTCTCGAGCTCAACAGACTTGGTGCTGGCATCAAACTCAAGATCAACTGCGTGGTTATGAGGGGTGTCAACGACAGAGAAGTGCTCCCCTTTGTGGACTTGACGCAAGAAAAGGACATTGAAGTCCGCTTCATCGAGTACATGCCATTTGACGGCAACAAATGGAGCAAAAATAAGATGTTTAGCTACCAGGAGATGCTGGACCTCATCAGGACAAAGTACTCAACGCTGCAGAAAGTGCAGGATCACAAGAACGATACAAGCAAGACATGGCACATCCCAGGCTTTACTGGAAGAATAGGATTCATCACGAGCATGACACACAACTTCTGCGGGACTTGCAATCGTCTTCGAATAACAGGTGACGGCAACCTCAAGGTGTGTTTGTTTGGCAATGCTGAGGTGTCTCTACGGGATATCCTCCGGAAGTCCAACAGTGGCGAGCCCATCGATGAGCAGGCTTTTGAGGCCATGAAGCAGATCGAGATGGACCGGCGGAGGGACTTGTTAACATCGGACCGGACTCCTCTCGGTCTGGCACCTAACGAGATGGAGCTTCTCGAGGTAATTGGTGCTGCTGTCAAGAGAAAGAAGGCAAAACATGCGGGCATCGGTGAGCTGGAGCATATGAAGAACAGACCCATGATCTTGATAGGTGGGTGATTGCACTCCTGCGCTCATCTTTTCCAAGTTTCCACGCATGGTTCGCAATGTCTGAGTCAAGTGTATGGTTCAAGAGACGTTATTCAGAGATTGTTCGCGGGGCAACTATCATGCCCTTATGGGGCGGCGTTGAAGGGTTGTTTCTCTACTTAAACTTTGAGGCTTGGATACCCTCCTATATTATGAGTTGGATGTAATACTGAATTGAGTTTTTGTTGTAGATACCATTAGTCCGTCTTCGTCATTTCGCACCATGCCTCCGCGAATGCAATCTCTTCTGCGTAACGGCCCCTGCTTCACGGCTAGCCAATCTATTTTCACACAGCAGAGACTCTTCTCCAATACTCGCCATATCCGAGACCAAGACAGCAGCGACAACGCAAAGCTGACCCATGTCTCTGCCTCTGGAGAGGCACGGATGGTCTCCATATCAGACAAGACGGTGACATCACGCATCGCCAAAGCTGCATGCACCGTCCGATTCTCGAACAGCACGGCGATCGGACTCATCAGAGACAACCAGATGAAGAAGGGAGATGTTCTGGGTGTCGCGCGGATCGCTGGCATCATGGCATCGAAGCGAACTCCAGATCTGATCCCACTCTGCCATCCGATCTCGCTCTCCAAGGTGACGGTTGATCTCGACGTCAGGGGTGACGACAGAGTCGAGATCGCTGCTACGGTCACGTGTGATGGAAAGACGGGGGTGGAGATGGAGGCGCTGACGGCGGCGTCTACGGCGGCATTGACAGTTTACGATATGTGCAAGGCTGTGGATAAGGGCATGGTCATTGAGGGGTTGAGAGTTGTCCTCAAGGATGGGGGGAAGAGCGGGAGATGGGAAATGAAGTGAGCATCAACCACAGCCAACCACATAACATGAATATATGCAACTACCATTACACGGTGTGATGGAGTCTCATAGTCTGTCCCGTCTTTAGCAAAACAGAGAGCATGACTCAGCTATCATCTAACACAGCATCAATATACATCTTGATCTCTGTAATCGTCTTCTCCACCCAGTGATGGGACGTTTTAGAACATCAGGTCCTCTGAATCCAGCCACAATGCAGGAGTCGTTTAATGACCGTGATACTAATCGCGAGATTGATTTAACAGGAGCAGCGCAAGCCACCATGACCACAAGGGCAAGAAAAAAAGCAAATCTTCAAAGACAATAGCCACACTGCCACAGTCGAGACATTTAACGGCAATCTACGGTTGTGTTGCAGAAGTGCCAGGTTAAACTCGAGACCAACGGAGCCGCCCGGCACATCCAAGATTAGATCCCTGGCAGGAATCCGATAGCTAAGCGGTAAACTTCCTATTCAAGGCGAGCGAGAAACACAAGAATGTGACAGGGTACGGAATTGCATGCAGAGAGGGAATTGTCTGTTGCACATGACCCTTGTGAGGCGTTGACGATGTGCATCAGATGTGAGGGGAACAAAAGGCGGTGGAGGAGATGTACCTACCTACAGTAGGTACATACCGTCAATCGATGCCCTTGTTGTGTTGTGCATTTGTACATGTAGAAACATCTTGGTTGATCAGTAGCTCATAGATCAGCATCAGCCTCCATTGGTTGGGTCGAAAGGTCAGAACCAACTCACATCACATTATCTTAATGCCTCAGGTAAATCTCCAGCTTGGCTTTCTACTACGTAGTAGGTACTTTGTACTGTGTGTTGCCTTTTACTAAGTCCATATGTCAAACCTAAGAAAGGGTTTAAGGCACAGCCAATCGAAGTTAAGTGATAAGAATGCCGAGGAGCCGCAACTGAACAGGGGATGTTGAAGGTCGACTTCCGATACAGGTAAAGCATATCCTCCACTTAGAGTCTTGGCATTGAGGCCCTAATAAAGTCAAAGACTAGTACAATTTAACATGGAGTAGGCTTAGACCAGGAACTCGCTGACGAGAACGGACTTTTTGAGGCAAGCCTTCGGCACTTACTACTATTATGTGAGTTACTGGAAACACCAGCATTTCCATACCACTTAAATGAGATTGATGGATTTTCCGGGCTAAGCGGTTGAGGCGAACTCGATTCAAGCTGGAACCCTAGGAGCCCTCCTCTGAGTGAGACCCAGTTGTCTTCGATTCTAGACCCTGATGACAGTCTGGCCTAAGCTACCTGCCAGCCAGTCACAATGATTGCAACCGTAATGTGAACCATGTAAGCCGAGAGGCCAAACTTGAGTATTAAAATGGTCCTTACGATGGGGAACTACGTTGCATGCTCTGTGGCCAGTGTCTGTGCTCCTAGGTCAAGTCTCAAATTGACTGGGAAACTATTATGAATAAGTTCGACACCAGCCTCAACCAGCCACCAAGAGAGCGTGCCAATCACTATTTGTTTAATATCTGAACAACAGGATGGTTCTTCCATCAAGTAGATCAGCGGTGAAAGCAGCAGATTGTCGAGTTCCGAGGCCCCTTCAGACCCTGACTGTTGCTTCGACTCCTCAGTACCTATGAAATGAAATGTCTTAAACCGACGGATCGGCAGAGTAATTTGCATGTCCTTTTTGTGGCTGATGCCAAGCACTAACGCTTCCCTGGTTATTGCAGTATGATATCCAGAGTTGTCATATTCGACCACATGCAACCGCTTCCGCATTGTCATTGTCTAGAGATCAGATGCCTCAACTCTTGCTTCTCCGTCTCGAGGGTTTCCTCCACAGCAATGCAGCAGCCGTATAAGACCCTCTGTGGCTTCGGAAGCAGTATGTAAATGCTCCTTGTTTTATGTATAAACTTATTAGTTTCATCTTATAGCTCACAGCTTGGACCACTTGCTTGGACCCTGAAATTCTGACGAGATGCGACATGCGAGTGCTATTCAGCCGTGATTGGATAATGGAAATGACTGTCGATCTTTTTGTCTCCAACATGGCCGATCAAAGCCGAGCCCTTGTGCCCTCTTGCCAGAAATATCACCTCTTTTAGCGCCCCAGTGTCTTGAAAGCCCAAGGCAAGGGAGTCGGTCGTGATTAACTGATGATAATTGGCTGGACATGGCAGATCTACATGGAAGAAAAACCCCCAGCTCCCACTCCCCACGTTGATGGAGAAGCCATGTCGGCAGCGCCACGAATTAATAGCGGAGGCTAGGCTAGAAAGGTTAGGAAACGTGGCTGCAACAAGCCTCGGTGGGAGTCCCACAGACTCTCGGCAGCGCCTATAGTGGAAATAACCGTGCAAGGATCTAATTAAGTACGGAGCGTGCTGCGGTAGAATCATCCACCGTGGAGATGGAAAAACCTGCACAGGCCAACACGGTGGGCCTTCAGGTGGCGTGAAATGAATCGTTCTCCAGTCTCAAGAGCTTCCAAGATTCGAGAAGAAAGCGGCAACAACCTAGTGGAAGACGCTCCGTCGCTCAGGGAATGATGAAGCGCCGAGGAGCCGCAACTCTTGACTTACTATATATGTATTTGCTCCCGAATTTTAGCGATGTGCCGTTCCGTTGGTGGTCCGATAGAAATTACCCAGATTAGGCCAGAGCAGCAAGGCAAGCAATGAATGTCGAATTTACATGAATGGCAAGGGTGAGATGTTGATGAGCGCATGCTCGCTATGAGGACCACCAGAATTCCGAGCTGTCAGAACCCCCCTCGTCTTTTCCATGAAGACTGAGGGGTTGTGGATTGCTCAAGTCACCATAGAAGAAAGCATGGCCGTGCACCGGCCGAGCATCTCGGAGCTCAAGGCCAAGTGAAACAGAAGACCCCTGAAGCAGCGACCAGACGGGAAGGTCACGAGACCATTGAACGGCAATTGACCATATAAAGAAGCTCAAAAGAACAAAATGAAGAATAACACAAGGGGTCCCAGCTCGACACGCAACAAACAAACCCAGTCTGCAGTGGATTCGGTGGGTAATGATTTGAGCTTGTCTGTTAATCATAGAATCTTCTGTCTCCCAGCCGCTGCCTGTCTCGGGGCTTAACCCAAAATGTCTGGGTAAGTGTGAGTGGAAGAATTGCTTGAAGGTGGAGCTCGTGAGGGCCATCGAAGAACCGAATGAGCCTATCACATGTCATGTAAAGGGGAAGAATGTAGGTAATGTTAGGCGAACTAATCAGTGATGAGACTAGACCTGAATCACAAATGATGATGGGTGCCCTTTGGCGAAAGGTAAAACACATAATGGAGGGGCGGGATGATGCTGCTGTGAAGCGTTCGTTCGTAAGTCAGGTAGAAATAGCTGATTAGAGATGTGCAACATGATCTTGAAATGCTACTGTTGTAGGCAGAAAAGGGGTTGGGCGCCCGGCTCCGCTAGTGATCGTCTAGACTATGAAACGCGGTGTTCTGTAAGAAGATCATGACAAACGTGATGCTGTTCATCACTCGTCAGGAAGAAGATGAGCCTTTTCAGATACGCGCCTTGCATGGGTCGAGGTTAAACGCAGCATTATCCGTACATACAGTACGATCGGATCGGGATAAGAGATCCATTGTCAGAATTGCCAGCATCAACTCAAACCCATGTTCTCGTTGCCCTGTAATTTCTGTGTCATGGCAATCATGATATCTCGGGTCCCATCAAATCAGAATGCAGAATAGGATATCGCAGAAGGCAAGCACCGATCCATCTGCATGCATACCTACCTAGGTAGCGTTGGACAGGGGCGCGATGAAAAAGAGGACGACGCATGATGATATTGCTATGAAAAGAAACAATTGTCGATATACGTCAATAGTATATACATCCGTGCGTTTAAGGCAAAAAGTATGTGCGTTGTATTGCAGATTGCTGAGATACCGGTGAAGAGTGAACGATGGGACGCTGCAGCTGCAACCGCATTTGTCGAATTGCAACTGCCCACCGTTACCGTTAATATCAAGTCTACCTGGACTGGGTATTTTGCCCAGGAAGGAACCGCTCTGCCCCTCTTTCCCCAAAGATGGGCTCTGGGCTTCCAATTGTCTTGAATCCATCATAAGCTTGTTCGGGAATCTATGGGTCCTTATTGTTTTGTACGTAACAGTTGGCTCATTTCCAAACATCATCAAAACGACCAAAGATAAAAGATTCAGCAACGGACAACTAACGTTCGGCGATACCGTCGTCTTCCCTTCCCTTATTCTGTTTCGGTAGTCACCGGCTTCCCAAGTGCTCTGAGGATGGTGTTGCGAGATGACGGTGAAGAAACTCCGCTGTCGCTGCCAGTCAGAACCCAACCTAACCCAACAACAGACCAAAAGTAACCCAAAGAACAGAAGCAGAGGAGCCAAAACTCCCCGTTACAAAGCCGGGAACCGCAGCTGCCCAATCAAACAACATACATCCGTAAGAAGTGCTCTAGTGGCTCGACCCTTGAACCTTGTAGAGCGCTCTGGCTTTGACTTTGGCCCCAGGCTCCCTATCTAGCGGGGACATGCTTGGGCTAAAGAGCGCGCTTGTCCAATTGCCGCCCTACGATAGTCAGCCCCGCGGACCGGAGAAGTTGGCCACACTCATTCATTGTAGCCGTTGCCGTTATACAGGTATAATCAATCAAGATCTGACGGGAACAGGCATGCTTGTTCTGACGGGAAGACCTCGAAAGTAACACGATTCGGAACTCGAGTACAGAATGTCGAGAATCTGGTGGCGCAAATTGCAACTCATTGCCTGACTCGAATGCTCCGGTTCTTGATTTAGCCGAAATCCCGTTGTCGAGAACACAACACGCAGACACGAGCACAGTATTCGAAGATACGTAGTGTCTCACCACAGCCGGCATTCGAGATTAGTTACTGCAGATAACCCATTGACAGATGAACTTGTTACGGAGGTCCTGGCATCAAACGATAACGACAAACTGTACATCATAATTCACATCACAGACCAGCATAATGAATCGCTTGTCATAATGCCCTTCTCGCAGCGGATGTAAATGGTCGACATACAGGGGCATAAATCTTTGATCAACCAGGTCAACCCACCGGATTGGATCTGTCTCCAGCGACGCCGAAGCCATCCAACCAGAGCGCCGACATAGAAAACATCCCGTCCACAGTTACGCACAGGTATCAAGCAACTATTATGTTTATCTCTCGAGACCCTTTACCGTATCCGGATACCGCGAGCTTTTGATTGAGTCGTGAGAGTCCTGAATTACATCACGGTATGAAAATCGCAAGACATGATCTTGTTTTGTGTGCCAGTGACCAGACAAGATAGACTGCATCCGACACCAGTCGATTTGCATCAGTGAAGGGAGGCTCCTGAACAGGGTACTCTCGACCACCCGATTCTGGACAGCTACTGAGACATTATTGACCGTGAGCCGTTGAGACTCTCAAGAGGAGAAACAGAGACAGCGACACGACAAGGGCAGACCCCGGTCATTGCAAGAGGATGCTTTGCTCCAAGAGTTAAGTCAAGCAGCAACCACAAGCCACGCCCACTCCATCATCAGCTCCACCGCCTACCGCCTCCCATCTCCACCTGCAAGAGAGGCCACATCCTTGTCATGCGCTAGAAGTCAAGTGCTGGGCTAGCACGTTAGGATCCCCAGTCAGTTCTGCAGACAAGAGGTACGTACCTCTTCCGCCCCCGGTCCTCCACGCGACGGTGTTGCCCACGCTGCGTTCCCAGGATCTACTCCCTCCTTGAGCCAGTTCGCTTTGGTTTAAACTCTGCGTGGCCCGCCCTTGCTCAACTCTTGCTCATCTAACTTCCCGTTCAGCTACAGTTGTAGTATATCAAACCGAATCGATCATATATACACAGATAACTCTACGCCACTTCCCTCTATATCTGTCCAACCCCTCCCTCGACTCCTCAGCATTGTGCAAATAAGAAGCCATCTCCTGCTTCTCACAGCGAACTCGCATCTGCTACGATACCAAACGTCACAAGCTAAAACACACTCTCTTCCGCATATCAACAATTACTCTCCACTCAATCCACGATAATGGCTGCCGACCTCATTATGCCCACTCTTCCGGGTGACCAGCACTCACGCCATTTCTTTCCCCAGCAGCGCCCTACGCATCAACGGAATCAGTCATATCAGATCTCGGTTGGACCTCAAATTTCACCCATCAACACCAATGAGTCCACCAGCCCCGACTCCATCTCGTCAACTCCCACTTCTCCTAGAGCGCATCATGCACGACAGACTCGGCCCATGTATATGCCTGCGGCTCTGCGCCCAAACTTGTTTCCATCCAAGACCAACAAGATGCCCATTGACGACGCTGCTTCAACTTCCAGCACCGAACCTGATAGCGCCTTGAGACGTACCAACAGCAGCCTCATCAACCTCCCTGGCATGTCCGTCTTCGGCAATAAGCTAGCACGTGTCTCAACTGGCGATAGCGCTCAAAGCAGCATTGACGGCGATTTTGATCCCGAGATGTTCCCCGAAGTTAAGGCTCAGCCTACTCGCAAGCATTGGAAGGTAACTAAAGCAAAAACAAGCTGCCGCTCTATCTCCCTCGCACAACATCTACTTGCATGCGCCATTGTCTTAGATATATTCAACGCTCCATCTCGTACAACCCTAGACCCCGTCATGTCTCACCTCACCAGTTGCCAGCATATTTCGCGTTCTTTCTATCCTACAGTTAACTAACATTATTCTTCCGCAGCCCGATGCCGAATCTACTGTCTGTGATGACCCGACTTGCAAGCGAACTTTCAGCTATTTCACTCGGCGTCACCACTGCCGAAAGTGCGGCCACATCTTCTGCGACTCCCATTCCACCTTTGCCGCTCCTCTCGATCATGATGCCAAATTCAATCCTCGCGCTCCTCTTTTCCGAACCTGCCGTCACTGCTGCGAAGAGTTCAAGAGTTGGTATACTCGTAACAGCAGCCGTGCTTCGAGTGCCGCCTCTTCGGATGCGCCCAACCCTACCCCCTCAACTCCCATCGGTGCAGGCTTTGGAGACGCCTCCGAGCTGCCTCGCGGCCCTGAACTTGCTGCCAGTGTGCCTAGGGATTGGAACTGGAGCACGTTCTGAGCGAAACCCGACAATATTACCCGTTGCAGCCAGTAGCAAACAACTGTCGATGGCAGACTACGGAGCCGTCTACCTACCACAACAAGATCAAGTCCTTTTTCTTGCTTAAGGTTGAGATCCTTGGCACTCCTGTTTGGGCATCATTCTCAATTCGGATTTGCTGAAGATTCGTCACGCCAAAACACCACAACCCACCACATTCTTTACCACACCTGCCGAAGTTGCAGTATAAGATACCCGAAGCCGTCAGTTTCACAAAGCCACCACAGAAGCATTATAGATCGATAGAAATTCCCTGACGAGTGACTTGGATCATTGTCAAATGTCGCCAATCACCTCATCCTTCAACCTCTACCTTTTACACATTTTCTGCTGACCTATATGGTCAAGCAGCGGTTCCGTTGGCCACTTTTAGGCCTTGCTCCTCGCATCTGGTTTTTATGAGTTCCTCTTATTTATAGCGAGGCGTCCTGGAAAGCAGACTCGATGTGAGCTGCTACATTGCGGTTATTAGTCCTGATATGATTACCTCAGCGGCCAGTCCCGAGAGAGAGCATATAGAGAATGCTCCGCTGGTCATGCCATTTAATGTTTTGTTTTTTCTCGAAAGGCGTCTTATGAACTCCCATATCCTGGTTCAAATTATAGATGGTTCTGGAATTTGCATTGCCATACGTGGCACGGAAGGGAATTTACGATATGATGAGGATTGTGTAGTTATTTGGCCAGATTGGGCTGGTTATGCCCTGTGCTGCCAGATCTCGACGGTCCGTTACTGCTATTAGATTACAAACTACAAATTTCCCCACCCATTTTCATACTTGTCATTACTGCCTGTGAACGTGAGCATTGCGTTGGTTGTGATGGACGAAGGCTAACAAATACTGATGATATATGACTTGTTGATTCACAGCTGGCGATGCAACATGAAGCTCAAGCAATCACCCCTATTCGGTATTGTAACTGCAAGAACTATGCGGCTATAAAGATCAGAGTCTCCGAGCCCCCAGTGTTGCCTGCAAGATGTGTTCCTGACTAAAGAGACTGAACTTTGTGTTAACGAGACCCCGACTCGGTTTTGGGATAACACCCAATGCGAGCTCATCGCCTATCAAAACCCAAAATTCATATTCAGGGTCGTATGGCCTCAACTTTATGATCCATTCTCTCAAAGACTAAAGCAATACGTAACAAAATTCCAAGTTGAACTCTTTATTTCTGCGACTCAGGCTAAAAATAATTCGCTCTTCATAGTATCAGATTGAACGGAGGATACAAACGCTTTCTATATTTTGCTAAGATCAGAGAAGGGAAAGAAATGACCCGTAAACACCCAAGCGAGATATGAGACCACAGGCCTGCTCTTTTGATATTGTTTTTGTTTTGTTTTGTTTCCAATTCTTCTTCCTTAAGCCTTTCGTCGTGACTTGCCACTAGCCTTCTTGGGGGTAGAAGCGCGCGAGGCCTCGTCCGAGGAGCCATTGGCCATGTTGGCACCATCGTAAATTTCCTTCTCAATGCCCTTGGCAGCGTCCCAGCCGGCCTTCTCGGCAAGAGCAATGTTAGCGTTGACATCGTGGGCTCTCTTGTGAGAGGTCTTGCTAGCAGCGTTGCTTCGCTTGACATAGCTGGCAATGAAGAAGCTGACAAAAAGGTAAGTCAAAGGAGCGAGGTACAATACGTTGAGCCAGATAGCAAAGGTCTCGCCAGTGGTCATGATACATGGCTGAGTAACGTATTGGGTTTCCGCAGTGAAGGCCTCGGCGCTGACAGCCTGTGAGGCAATAGGGTCGGCACCCTCACCAGCACCCCAAATGAACTTCTTGAGAGATTCGACAGCACCGTCAACAACTGTCTCTTGGCTGGCGTCTGGAGCAGCTGTGGTAGCACCGACTGGGGCGGAAAGTTTCTGGATGATGGTGACAGGAACTTTGTAAGAGATGAAAGAATGAGCCACAGTGTTACTTGCGCCGACAAGAAATTGAGTGATTTGCATTGACGTAAGTGTTCGCTTGACGGGAGTTGGGACTCGGATGTTAAAGGCTGTCAGGGTGTAGTAAAAATACTGGAATATGTCAGTTAAGATTCACGGTTCAGAGTTTTCGAATATGGACTTACCATGAGGGAGTGGATGAAGGAGTTGATAAGAACAAACTGCCAAATGGGGGCAGACATGTAACGCATACCAGCCCACATGCAAAGCATGGCTCCGGCGTGGTGGTAGGTCTGAAGAGTAGAGCTAAGCTTGCCCTTGGCTAGAATGATAAATGTGTCGAGGACCTCGTAGAACTTGCTGAGATAGAAGATCCATCCATAGTAAGCCAGTCCCTCGTTCCACAGACGACCACCAACAGTTCCACTGGGCAAACCATCAACGATAGCAGCGTTCTCAGCGGAAGACACGAAGGAGCTCGAAGTCTCGTTGTAGTAGACAGAGTTTCCAAGACCAGAGGACCCATGAAGACGACAGAAACTATCAGCCGTACCAGCAAGACCTTGCGGACCAGCAGGGTTGAGAATACTTCTCTTCATACCACCAAGCATGCCCCAGAATGTCCAAGCAGAGTAGACGCAGAGGAAGACGTTGTGAAGAACCACGAAGGCAAAGAAAGGACGGGTCTTGCTGATAGCCCATGGCTTCTTGCCGTTGGATTTGTTGTAGATGTTGAGACTCTTGACAGTCACGGCATATAGAATAGCGATGGTCAAGGGGACCTTGGCATCAAGAGCACCAGTAAAGATATGCTCGGGGATATTGAATGGCCGCAGAATTGATGTTGGAACGTCCACGGGCGCAATGGGGGCTGGCGCATTTGCAGGAGGGAAGCTGAAGAGGCTCGAATCGGGCGTCGAGCGCAGCAGTTGGAAGGGCTCAGCCATGATGGCGGTTTATGTATCTTGTTTGAGGCTTGGCGGTCGTCTGCTGAAAGATGATAGTCAACTAGTGTTGAGTCTATGCAAATGGTAAAAGTGAAGCACAGATTTGGAGTTCGGAGATATAAGAATAGGTAAGGTAAGGACAAATCAAGCTCAGAAGAGGCCAACAAGAGAACTGCAGAGAAAAGAAGAAGCCACTGCAAAAGGCAAGAGGTAAGAGGCTGGAGTCTTATTCTTAAAAGGTAAAGGTGAAGGAGAAGACGTTGGCTTTAACTTCTTTTTTTTTTTCTTTTTCTCGAAGTCCACCCCGGCTCAAGCTGGAGCGGACCGGAAGGAGGGGGCCTCGGGTCTTGCTTGACTTGTAAGTCAATAAGGTACCTACTACCTAGAGCTAGAAGTTACCCAGGCAGTGGTCAAGGGGATCAACTGGGGGTCCGGCCTTCCTAGAATGGCCGGGGATTGGACCCATTGAGACCCGTGCCTTTTGTTCTAGAGACAGAAGGCAGGTATGATGAAAGGTATTGTTACCAGAATATGGAACATGAAAATGGCACCTGTCTACCAAGTGTGGTACCCGTTGCCGCCGCCGGGACGGGAGGACCTAAATGGACTACCTGTTAGTACCTATACGCTTGTATTAACCTATCAATGTGAGGTTTCACTTGGCATGTGCATTTGAATCACTGTTGTGCTCGGTGTACAAGGGTTCTTTTGGTGATAATAAGGGTCTCAGCTAATGTTGTTTTATATCCATACAAAGTTATCATCATGAAAACTCTTTTACCACGATTGCGTGTTCCAAACCCCCATTGCCTGACATATAGTGTAGTATTTGTATCTTGAGATACATTCCGCGTGCTTATTTGTACATTACTACCGTATTCATCGTGAAAAGTGATCATCATGATTGCGAGCTGTGGCTTTGACATTGAAGTATTGGTGTGTGACACAGAAACAAGTCCCGGATATCATGGATGAATGTGGTAATGTGGGGCCAAAGCCGAGGCAGATGTGCCGCAACTGTAGCCCTGGAATATCAACCAAAAATCAGCATCTTCTAATGGTACAATAAGAATGATGCCAATAATGCAGTATTAACAAGAATAGGGGCTCATGGTTAGCGATTACAAAGTACCGCCGGTCATTGTTCTTACAACAACTGAACTGCCTATTTCTGATGCTCTCGTCTAAGAGACAAGGGTTACCGTGGATCTGTGGTCGACGTCGACACCTGCTCCGGTCAATGATTGATTATTGGGACGGGGGTTCTGGACTAGAGTACCATGGATCAGGGAGAAATCTTTGACGGAGGAAGAGTTACAGATCAGTACAAGCAAATGTTAGCCTCTCAGCATAAACCATGTGTGAGTACTATCTGATACTTTGTATGTGAGCACGCGGGGAATTGCTCCAAATCTGTAAACAAAGTGCGGCTGCTGTCCATCTTGGAGGCTGATTTTTGTTGGGGATACGCTAATGCAATGACCATGTGGGACCCGTTAAGTCAAACTTATCTGTTTTTTTCCTTCTATTGAGTGAAGCTATCAAATGCTGTCGTGTAAGTGGTTTTGCTTCATGCTGTCGTGTGACTGTCTTGAAAACATTTGAACCTCAACCAAGTGTTAGTCTGTAGCTACACCGTAATGGCTGAGAACCTAGTGAAAATTTGGCTACGCATTATTAGTACGTTCTTGAGCTCTTGGGCTTCTTATAACTTATAATACTACTTAAAATATATCTCGTTGCTGCCAAAGGACTCCTTGCTTGAATGCCACTACCAGGAGAAGTACTTCACACAATCACACAAATTTGTCTTTCTCTAACACCTGTCAAACTTATTACAGGGGCTGGTGAAGGAAAATATCGTCTTTTCAAGTTCTCTCCACCGTCGTCCCGCGGCTGTCCGAAAACCAAACCCCAGAATCCTCAACAAATCTACAATATCCATACGCATCGGAGCTCCCTGTCCCTGCGCCATCCATTCGCCTCTTGGCCCGCGCATCTTACCCTCTTCCCGGCACCTCCTCCGCTGTTCGACGTCTGCTGCCTCCGTATCCGCCCCATTCATCTTGGTCTTTCTCGCACTCAGTTCGTGTCTGTTTTGTACATGGTGGAAACTTGACTTCATCCCGCTGCCCGGCCGTCCATCCGGCACGGAGTTGACATTGACAAGCCGTTGGTTGTTAGACTTGTCAAGTTGATTATCATACAAAATAAGCAGTATACAAGTCTTTCAGGCTTTTCCTGTTAATCTGCATTCAATCTAATGTCTCTGACCTTTTTTTCTTCATGCAAATAAGTTCACCTTGTCAGTAGGAGCCGGATTGTCTCGGTAATTGTGGATTCCTCTTCCGTCACTCGGCCGGAGTGGAGATCGATCTGCCTCCGTCGGATTTGGAAGTCTCCTGATATGACATAATACCGAGTTCCCTCGTCCGTACACTCGGTAGCATTCATGTCAGGTACGCATTGCCAGCATGGCCAGGGGATGTAGCTTACCATCCGCAGTATTACGACATTGACAATCATGCAACACAAAAGCACCTCACATCTTTCATTATTGGTAAAACGTGGTAAATTCGTATCTGTCTGTAGCTAATAACCATTCCCAAAATCATGCAATGCCGTCCTTGTTCGCGTATTCAAAAGTTAGTCTTGGCAATCTCCCATGTAGTGTACATCCAAACACCTCATACAACTAAGAGTGATCCAGCTTAGAACCACTCTCCGCTGAGCCAGCGGTTGAAAAAGTCAGAAGAAGCCTCGGGCTGGTCCATGGGCACCATGTGGCCAGCACCGTAGATCTGCATAAAGGTAAAGTTACCACTGGACTTGACCTTGCCGTACTCCTTGCCGTTGTGCTCGAGGTTCTTGATCTTGGCGTGGCTGAAATCCTTCTGGCCAGACCACTGGAGCTTGTCGGTCCATGCCTGGTTACCGAGCCAGTTGCAGATGAAGTCGGCATCACCAGCATAGATGAGAACGGGGATCTTGTCAAGAACGTTGGGGACGAGCTGGTGGTAGGGCTGCATCCAGTCACCAGCAAAGAGGAAGTTTCGGTTGATGTCCATGTTGCAGCTGTCGTAGCTGCTGACCTCAACACCAAGAGCCTCCTTGACCTCTTCGCGGTTCAGGTAGTCGGCGATGTAACCCAGGCCAGGGTAGCAGAGGTTGGAGCTATCCTCACACTTGCCTCGAATGTCGTAGACATTCTGGCCGGTGCGCTGGTAGGGACCCATCATGGCGTTGTTGCAGTAGATGCTGGCGGGGACACAAGACCAGGCACTGCCGGACTCGTAGCAACCCTTGATCAGAGACTGGCAGCGGGGCAGAGCGTTGTCCATGGACTGGCACTCGCTGTCACTGAGGACAGAGGGGTAGCCACCCTCACCGCAGGCCATGGGGCGGTAGTAGGCGTACTGGGTGTAGCCATCGGTAAGACCGTTACCAATAAGAACACTCTTGAGGTTGATGTTGCGGTCATCGTGGGAGAGAATCTCGTTGGCAAACACGGGGATGTAGTGACCAGCATAGGACTCGCCAGCAATGTGGAAGTCCTGCTTGGCATACTCGGGGAACTGGTGGAAGAACAGAGTGAGGAGAGCATAGATGTCCTTGCCAGCAGCAACAGTGTTGCTCACAGAGCCACCACTGTAGGAATAGCCTACGTTGACGGGCTGATCGAGGAAGATAACGGAAGCGTTGTTGTTCCAGGACTCGGGGTTGTTGACGAGCTCGATCTTCTTGTTGATGGAAGCAGGTCCAAGCTCAAGGAAGAGACCAGTCAAGGAAGAGCAGCCAGGGCCACCGTTAAGCCAGAGTACGACAGGGTCGTTCTTGGGGTCGTTACGGGACTCGAAGAACCCTTTGAAGTGTTAGTTCAGCAATCAATTCGGTTCGAGTCGGTACATCAACTTACAGTAGAAGAGGTGCTTGTCTTCCTCCTCATTGTCAAGATAACCACTGTACTGCTTGACCTTGTCAACGCCGAGCTTTGCAGGGTCGACCTTCTTGGCACGGAGATTGAAGTTGTCGAGTTTTCCGCCAACCTCACGATGCTTCTCGCCATTCTTCTCGACCCAGAGGGACTGGACATCAGCACCCTTGACGATGTGATCCCAGTGAGCATCGGGCCGACGGTTGGCCTTCTTGGGCTGGGTCAGGACCTGCTTCTTGAAAGCCTCAACAGCGTCGGGGGCAAGAAGAGTGACCTCGTCCCAGACAGCCTTGGCCTCTGATGAGATCTCGCCAAAGAACTTCTCGAGGGGCTTGGTCCAGGCGTTGACGTCGATATCGACAAGAGGCTTGGAGTCGCCGCCGAGAACCTGCTGCTCTTGCAGGCCGACGGCCGAAGAGGCAGCGCCCAGCACGAGCGCGGAAGTTGACAAACGCATTGTCTGCTGTTTGAACAGGCTTCAGTGACTGCTTTTGCTGGAGATGGCGATGACAGCCTAATTAGGGAATATTGAGGAGTTGTTAGAAAAGAAAAGTGATGTTGTTGATGGAAGAGAGAGAAGTAAACGCGCAAGCCAGGCAAGCGATGTAATATGGCTGGGGAAGCTCCCCCAGACCGTCTGAGACCTCCATCAGATGGGACGCCGAGCAACGCAGCTGACCACTCAACACGCCCCGCGTAGCGGCTACGCTTCCTAGCGGCAGGGGCGATTCAGGCAGTTGCCAGGGAGCTCTACTATCTGATAGTCACTACAGTTACGTGTGTATCTGTTAGTGCAGCGTTGCGTGTCACCCATCCGCAAGGTACCAAACGACCAAGCTAAGCTGGGAAGGCGGCTTGCGCCAACAACTCAAATATCCACTTTTTAAGTTCGACAACGTGACTCGACGACGCTATCTCACCCTGATGAATCGCTGATAAGAGGTGTTAACGGGACTTGAGTCTCCATTTCAAGGCTACCTTGTGATGATGAATAAATGCTCTTGTTGATTCGGAGGATTATGGAATGGCCAATGTTCTCTGATTTGAGCCATATTTCACACCCTCAACACATGTCTCTCTCACTCTCCCTTTATGGCCTCCGTTGCAATCAGTAGCCAGGGTGTAAAGCCGGTGCCGGCTGAGTGACGTAGACGATACAGGTCCCGTTTGGTGTGTTACCGTACACGTCTGAAGTGACAATGCACGCACTAAAACACGATCAGAGGTTGATTACAATTCGGCTCAAGTGTCTCATTCTTGGTTGTAAGCTTGCCAAAATCGGAGAGCATCCATTCTCATTAGGCAGCTTGCTCAAGTTACTCTGGAACGCAAACCGGATTAGATTTGCTTCCAACCATGTATATTATTTTACCGATAGTAAATGCCCCCTCCAGTACAACCTTATACATGAGGCGACCGCAAGCGGAAGATCAACAAGGAACAACAACCCTGGGCATGAAACATGAGTGAGGCGGTAAGTCGTAACTGGTATCATATATTCCTACTGTTAGATACCAGAACGGCAACAGCGTTATCGACATTTATATAATTTAGTTTCTTGTTATTATTAGCTTAGCCAGAAGGTGTCTGGGTTAAAACAAGCTTGAACTTGAGCACATGCATCTAGAGGGATGCGCGCAGGGACAATCCTTTCTAATTTCCACGCCCCGGACTTGAGCCAGTATGTACATACTAAATACTTATTTACTTGGGAAGAAGATCCTGGTTGCCAGAAACTATACGATTTTATATCATTGTGAGAGGCACATATATCCGTCCCTATTTATAAATTTGCATCAGCTCGGTTTCTAAACCACATTGTCAGATTGTATTGAGTGAGTACTTTAGTGCTTTAAAGCAGCAGCCCAGTCAAAACGTTCGATAGGTTATAAGTCATTCAAAAGACGCAGTGGGTTGAGTCTTACAGTAAATCACCAGGAACACGCAGCAATGAGTTGAATTTGTTCAAGTATTGCTATAGGAGTAAGGTAGTCAGCAGATTTACTCAAAAGTATTCATCCCCTGTAGACTTTGTAGCCAGACATGATGCTAACAGCTCACAATGGCTCAGTCTTCAGAAAGAGACATACTGAGTTATGCTTGGAACTTGTTCACTAATGAAGAGTCAGACCGATTGCCAAGACGAGTCATATCATACGAGGTGAGGTATATGAATTATTCACAAGCTTGGACGGTATGAGTCTAGGCCTGTGGCTCAGATATAGCAGGGTTATTAGTTATAAAATGATTATGGAAAACACAAGATGAAGACACCAATGGGAGATGCCATGTACATAGCATTATTGCAAGTCTCATACCATGTAAGTCAAGTTGATCATAGATATCAGTCAGTTAGCACATACGCATCATTTCAACGATTACTACATAAGTATGAGAATAGCGACCTAATTAATGATCACAAGCTCAACATATGCCATATTACTTAATTAAACAAATGAGAAATGGGTCATTGTGAGTAGTAAATTTCGATAGATGATTATGGTAGCTATGATCCAGGATCGTTGTGACTCAAAAGCTATGACGAAGGCCTACCTTATTTATTGGTGCGGGGCATTACGCAGTAAGAAATCCAACCTGACTGATGGCGGGGTTCAGAAAAAAGTTCTGGTAAATCAAGAAGGTAAAAGTGCCTACTATCCAATCTTTAACTACCTCATTTCTACTCAAGTCTCAGCAACTTTACGCAGCGTCCTCTGTTCACCTCCAATATCTTCCATCTCATTAATCGCCTACCATGTCTCGCCAGATCCAACAACCATCCAACCAAATCAAGCTCACAAACGTCTCCCTCGTACGCCTCAAGAAGGGAAAGAAGCGCTTCGAGCTCGCCTGCTACAAGAACAAGGTCCTCGAGTGGCGATCCGGTATCGAGACAGATCTCGATAATGTCCTCCAGATCCCAAACGTCTTCCTCAACGTGTCCAAGGGTCAAACGGCGCCTCGTGAGGATCTAGACAAGGCCTTTGGCAAGGGCAAGTCTACAGACGACATCATCCTCGAGATTCTGAAAAAGGGTGAGATGCAAGTCGGCGAGAAAGAGCGCGCGGCGCAGACGGAGCGTGTGCACAACGAGGTTGTCAGCATAGTCGCTAGTAAACTGGTCGATCCGAGAACCAAGCGCGTGTACACATCTGGCATGATCGAGAAGGCTCTTGATATGCTCAGCTCACAGGCGCACACCGCGACACCCGACAAGAGCGCTGCTGGAAGTGCTGCTGGAACACCTGCGACTGGTGAAGCGGGCGAAGCTAAGCCCCGACCCCAGCACAACTGGACGGGCGTTAGCACGACCAAGAGCGCAAAGAGCCAGGCTCTTGAAGCTATGAAAGCTCTCATTGCTCATCAGCCCATCCCAGTTGCGAGGGCACGCATGAGGCTTCGTATCGCCTGTACTACCAACGTCCTCAAGCAAGCTGTGAAAGGAGCAAAGGGAGCCAACAAAGAAGAAGACGGCGAGCAAAAGGCCGTGGGCACAGTCAAGGATAAGATTCTCAGCTACGTTGAGCAAGTCGAGAGTCAAGACGTCGTTGGTTCGGAATGGGAGGTGGTAGGCTTCGTAGAACCTGGAGCCTTTAAGCCCCTATCTGACTTTATTGGCAACGAGACCAAGGGACAGGGAAGAGTTGAGGTTTTGGACATGGCTGTCACGCACGAGGATTAAATAACAAACACGTTTAAGTAGTCAAAAGAGAAATTATGATACCCTTGCACAGAATCATACGGTATCTTGTCCTTTCCGTGGCGATACCCATGTTACACCATTTTACCCTGTCGTGGACTTCGTTGAGCCATAAACTTCACGTGTTTGTAGCATGGACACTTCCTGCTCCCTCATTGAACATCTTTACTTGAATACTTTTGATTCGTGACTCTGATCTAGAGTACAGCCCTTGCTTTGGCTGCATATGCCAGAAAGCAAACCTCTCAAAATGCTCAGAAAGATGGAGAAACCAGCCGTCACGCCTGTCCACCCATAACCAACACCCATAAAAAGTTTAACCACCCTTCTTCTTGGAGACACCGACGGTCCTGCCACGGCGACCGGTGGTCTTGGTGTGCTGACCACGGACACGGAGACCCCAGTAGTGTCGGAGACCACGGTGAGCGCGGATCTTCTTGAGGCGCTCGAGATCCTCACGGAGCTTGGAGTCGACACCGTTGGCAAGAATGTGAGAGTCCTTGCCATCAACGATATCGCGCTGTCGGTTGATGAACCACGTAGGGATCTTGTATTGGGTGGGGTTCTGGAGGATGGTGACGATTCGCTCGAGCTCTTCAGAGGTGAGCTCACCAGCGCTGTAAATTGTTATCAGCATATTTTGAGCATCTCGTAGGTGTGGAAACTCGCGTACCGCTTGTTCAGATCGACATCGGCCTTCTTGCAGACCAAGTTAGAGTATCGGCGACCGACACCCTTGATCTTGGTCAAGGCATACATAACCTTTTGCTTTCCGTCAACATTGGTGTTGAGAAGACGGAGAATCTGCCTATCGTTAATATCTGCTTCTTTGAGGTTTCATTTCTCATAATCGATTTCGGTGCACGCAACGCCGAACAGAATGGCACCAGCGCATTCGAGCGCAGCGGCGATGGTGTCGAATTCGATATCGATGAAATGATGCTGGAGAGGATGACTTACGAACTGGAAGTTCGACTTCTCTCCCGAGACGAGCGACATGATGGGCAACTTCTACCGGTCAGTTGCCGTATGCTCGTTGAATTCGATGATCGGGTGTAGAAGATAGAAGACTGAGTTGAAACCCTCGCTTATGGTGAAAAAACCTGTGGGTACTAGGGCAAAGGAGCGCACAACTTGGGTGCGGATGGTAGTTGATCCGTATTCAGAGCTAAGCCTATCTTAGTGGTCACGTGTAGATTGTGATTCAGAGCTTGGGTCGTCTGTCCCCCTGACTCATCCAATCTGAACTCAAATTTTTATATCACTAAATAGGACTTACTCCAAGGTTCAACGCTCAGAACTATTACGAATGAGTGTACTTTAAGAAGCTCCTTGAGTCTACATCAGGCTCATCAATATGAAGGCTTTCAAGTATCCCCCAGGTAGGACATTACTCATCATATGCTGTCTAGTATGCAGCTAAATATCCGTACTTTGTCGTCTTTTTCCATCGCTCGGTCAGCTCAGCTCGCCAGCTGATCTTGAGCCGGATACCTCACCTCGGTGCTGGTACAAGACAAGACCAATATGGCAACGTTTTTTGAGTACGGAGTCTTTAGTGTTTTCACCAAATGGAGTCTTCCGTAATTTGACTGTTGTTACATTCCCTAGATAATTCTAATCTATTCCCGTTCATTTGTGTGCCCGCATGCATCCTTCTATGCTTAGTCTGTCAAATCAATCTGTCCGTGAGGACAAGCATTAGTATGTCTATTCCTTACGCCTTGCTCCAAACTCCAACCAAGTCATTTCCTGTTCTACACGCGTAGCCGGGTGTCGTCGTTCTCGGCAAATTCTCAACTTTCTTCCATGCTCCTTTCTGGAACCTAGAATTCGTCAAGGGGGTCGTAACCCTACCGGCGTTAGCATTAATGTAATTTTCTCCGTTGGGAAAAACAAACCTTATCTTTCTTGAGTTGATGAGCAAGCAACTCTGAGAGATTCGCTCTGTCGGTCTCAGCAGTGAGATTGGTGCTCCTCGTTTGCAGGTGGGCAACCGACACCTCCTTGAGGCCCCGAATGGTCAAAATCTCGTCCAATCCCAGAATGTCCGTTATCCTGACATGGCGATAAGAGAGCGGGAAGAATTGCTTCATCAGATCAGTTCGCGGACTGAGGTGGGCGAGTGTTGATTTCGAGATACTGATGGTCAAACCCTCAAGCTTATCACATTCTGCAAGCTTCTTGAAGGTTTTTGCCGACTTGGGTCCGCACCAGTGAACCTTGATGTCACGGACGTTCTGCACAAGCAGTGGGTTGCTATCAAGGTGATACAAAAGTTCGCAGCAGCAGCGGAAACGGACAGCTTTCTTACGAAAGAAGATGCGAAAGAATTCGTGGTTGAGTGCTGGACCCAGGATAGATGGCAAAGCCTTCATCTGAGGAGTGTGGAAAGACCCGAATTCGCGTTCCAGCTGTGGACAGTTACAGCTCACTTTTCGTGAACTGGGTTTGATACCCTTGGATTTGAAGACAGTATCAACCATCAAGTCGACAATATACTCTCGGATCTCGGCAGGCAGTCTCATGAAAGGAAAACCCTCGATGGGCGGTGGTCGGTCTAGGTCAGAGAGTCATTTGCTGTATCTTGGAAACGGACGATCTGATACTGGGGGGTTACTTACCGGCAATTTCGAGGATCTCGGTGCACATCTCAATGATGTCGACACAGGTCTTGGACTCTTGGGGATCCTTGTTGATCATGCGCGCGCACTTGGCTATCGTTGCAGCAACTGATTCTCGACGGCGAGGACTCAGCCGGACCATACTTCCCAGCTCTCTTGCGTCGATGACGCCGGCGTGAAAGCTTTCCAAGCCCTGAAGGAGGACTTGAATGTTCTTGGTCAAGCCATACCGCGTGTGTACGGCCTTGGACTTGAGGGCATACCAAGACTTGCTCGACATGGCGATGAGAGTAAGGGAACGCGATATACCTGAAAGTGACCCCGATAGTGTAGATGTTGGTGTGAGGAAGCAAGTCAGGGAAAGACGACGACGTTGAGAAGATTATGAATTAAGCCAAGTGAATGTCTCCAAGTGAAGGAGCTCACCAACCCAGGTGCCTTAATGATTCAGTACCTAAACTCAGGCAGTGCCTAGTTCAATGTCGCGACTGAAATGAATGGGGTCAATCACAGCGCAGCAGGAGCCTGCGCGCAGTGCCAAATCTGCCTTCCCGCGTACCTACCTACCTTAACCTATGAGATGGTGCCTTGACAACAGGAAGGTCACTGACCCGAATCAATGGCAGGTACCAACTTTGGTGGAACCTCAAATGATTGAGACTAAATCAAAGGCAAAACAAGATATCCATTGGTTAGTAAAATGACTGTTCAGGCTTGGTGAGATGCCAATAACGCAGTGCAAACAAGCGGCAGTGATATTGGCGGGTGAGCGCAGGTTCATGAATGACGATAACGACGATGGTATGGAGCTGCTGAGGCATAGACGGGAATGCAGTACATTGGTGCCTGGACTGGTATAAATCCATGGATTTACTCTGTGTCACCTCCAATACCGTTGTCAAGTTGTCTTGCTACCGTTCTGTATCCAGATGAGTATCAGGCATATCTACAAGCGTTTGACAAGTATATGAGTTTTTGTCCTTTGTTGTATGGGGAAGTGATTATCTTGGTTCCATGGCTCTCAACACATCGGTTCTTCATGTTAGTGAACTGTGAGAAACATCCTTAATGGCGTGAAAAGGACCTGTCTTTGTTCGTTTTGAAATAAAGCCTGTTTGACTACAAATAACACAGAGGACCACCTGAAAGCAGCAGGATTGTGGCATGAGCACTCTTTGTAAAATAAGTAAGAGAGTGCGGTTGCGGTATCGTACTGATTATACCTGATGGGTTTAATTGTTGTGCCAACTCAGGCATCCTTGCAACTAGGTATGGTAGTGAGTGAAGCACTTTACTGGCCCTGTTAAAAGCAGCCGTATAGAATTAACCTCACATGATACAGGAGAAGAAAGTTGATTGTAAAACAAGTAGACTTTTATTGGTCTATTCAATTTAACGCCTTCTGGTCTATCTGCCCATTGCATGACCAAAGTGATATGCAAAACTCCTTAAGCCAGTCGCTAAATCCAATATGCTATATTCCATACCACACATGTCGTGGCGTTTCAAATCAATTCATGCGGTTTTCCTTCGGTGCCCGAGACACCGTCGTCAAAGAAGACGATAAGAAAGACAGCCAATGCGCACTGCTTTTGTTTTGGTGTCCTTTGTTGTTATGCTCTAATGCAATGATTAAAGGGAAGTTCTGAGTTGGTGTTGCTCAGATCGTCAGCTATTATTCCTGTTTGGGTTGGAACAGGCGCTGATCTTGAGGTGGTTGCATCACCCAATCGATGATATTGTAGTGACAGAGACGGCTTCCAGAGACGGCTTCCAGAGTCGTGATTAGACGGACAGAATGCAACGCTCAAGGCGAGGATCTTCCAAGGGAGGTAATTTGGTGTGTCCGAGTAACGTTGCAGGTTGTTGGTGGCAGGCTTTGGAACTGGTGTTCTAGAACTCTTCCAAGTTTCGCCGCTATCGACAATCGGCGAGCCCGCATGCCCGCCCATCCATCATCACCGACCTTGCCATTTCAGGAAATGGACTACGATGATTTGACGGAGGAAGACGAAGAACAAGTCTGATCATCGCTTTCGCTGTCGCCTTCCAAAGAGAAGTTGACAACGCTGGGGGCTCTGGTGCAGCAAGGGCTGATTCCAATGAAATCATCCTCCTCGATTTGCTCGGGAGAAGAGGCGCCAAAGGTGAAGTCGAAGTGAGAGAGCATCTCCTGGTGCTGAAGATTTTGGGCGGTCATTGGCTTCTCGCTAGGGTGGGTGATCTTCTTTCCCTTCTTGTTCTTGGTCTTGCGCTCCCTGGTGGCATCCTTGTCCTTAGACCCCCACGTCCAGGTACGGGACAACTTGTTGACGAGTGATGATTTCGATGATGAGTCGGACTTCTCACTGTTCTGGCTGGACTTGGTCATAGTGGCTGTGATCTTTCCTGAGGTGTTGGCGTCGACGATATTTGTGCTTGAAGCGTCAGAACGCACAGCGCGGCGGAAGTGCTCTCGGATGGCCATTGTGGATAATGTGTTGTGTTTGGCTGTAAGATAGGGTGTGTGTTTTTGTTGTAGAGAAAGGTGTAAGCTCGATGAGTGTATGTTGTTGAGTTGCTATGATCGAGGCAATGAGCTTGGAATTGACAGGATCCTCAACTTTGAAAGTGCTGGAAATAGTATGGGCGATCGTTTATCATAAATGGATAGAAAGAGATAAGTGCAGCAGCCAGGACATTTAAAGGGAATCCCTGGAGACTGGAGATAGGAAAACCCCTCAAAGTCTTTCGGTCGTTTCGGCCTGTATCCATGCGTTCTACTCTCCGGCAGCGCCTTGGAAAACCTGGGCTTGGTTGTGGAGGTGGAACCGCCTGGGGGTCCCTGATCCCGGGTACAAAGAGTACATTGGACGTCCTTTGAATTGTCTCTGGGTCTGGTAACCCCTGGAAATGAGGATGCTGCACTGTGATTAGCTCAAGGGGGGAAGGGGGCGGAGAATAGCGGAGCAGTCGGCGGCTTATACGGAGTCTGACCCTCAATGAGGTCAGTGTTGGCCAGAACAACTGTATGGAGAAACCCTGTAATGTCGGGCCGGGGAGTTGAATATGGTACAAAGAGTACATAGCTGCCTCGCAACCCTCTCTCTGTTGACCATGTGGTGGTGGATGGATCGGAAGTAACAGTTTTTAGCAACACTGCAGATCAAGGAGTTGCAGACAGAGGTTGAGGCTGCACCACCAACGCCACTATTGGTAAACTATCAGCCTCAAAGGGGCAGGCCGCAGGAGGACGAAAGGTTGTTTTCTGCCTTTTGGCTCTGCTACTGTTTTTAGCCGGTGATCATTTCTATGATCGCTCTGACAGTGACAAGGGTGCTCAAGTGAGATTACGATTGCAGGCACCAGAGTTTCGTGCATGTCGACTGGCCCAGGCTTGGCTGACAGAAAATGGATCCAATCGTGAGCCTTGTTTCTTCCATTCCACCATATTACCATAGCCGAATGTGTCCGGCAGTCGAGGTGGAAATCAACGGAAACATGGCGTTCAGGAGTTGATGAGTTGTGAGGCGCCTCGTGTATCAGCCGTTAATAATACCTGTCTCATAACGTCGACGCCTCTAAAAACAGACTTTTCATCTGGATATCGAATCCCGCGACACAGAAATGGACCTTGTGCATGGTGTATGTAACATTGTCCGGTTTCGACACCACCAGCACCTCATTTAGACTCCAATTCGAATCTAAAAACACGGGGTCGGCGACAAATTTGAGCCGTGGAGGCCCCCGCACGATGTCATCCACTTTATGCCCACTCATCCACTAGCATTGTTGGGGGTTTCTTGGGGTTTAGACGGGGCCATGAACAGACCGACAGGCTAGACTCTGCGAGGCAAGTCATCCAGGTAGCGTCATTGTGAGAAGGTAACGCCGAGCTGAGTCCGTTGAACTCCGTTATTAGCTGTTGTGTTCAGGTTTCTGGGATTTGGCCACGCTGCCACGGCTGTAGACACATGTTTTGGTGGTGACATCCAATTCAATGGCTTGTTTCCACTCCAGGCACCGAGCAATCTGCATTCTGCAGTCTCTGATGAATGCCACATTCTGCCAAGACTGAGCACGTTGATGCACTTGATCCTTGCACGGAGATCCTTCTTCACGCTCGTCCGTCAGAACGAACCGCCTGATGCATGTTACGTACTAAGAAATCGGCCCTTGCTCGGTTAATACTTGTGAATGAAGTCAGCCAACTCCATCTGTCTTTGGTAGCTAGTCGCGCGACAGTTGAAGCCGTTGAAAACGCCAACGGAGTTTGCAACTGCCATTGAACTGAACTTCTCAGGGCTGCTCAACCAATGTTTCCTTCTTCCGTTTCTGCAACCATTACGGGCAGGACAGGACGGAGTTCGGCAGAGACCGGACCGGTGTTTGTTACGGTCTTGACCTCTTACCTCAAGGCTCTCATTTATCGCCGTTCCCGTTGGTTCCCGTTGCATCCCACAGCATGTCTCGTTCGCCACCCGCTCTCGGCGCCGGACTTGGCGTCTCGTTAACAGCGGATAATTGCTTGAAGTCTGAGCTTATCGAACATGACACCTTCTTCTGGTGGTTTGGCTGAAGGGTATTGATTGAGGCGGCTATACTTGCCTTGCCTCCGAGAAAATTTTTCTCTTTTTTTTTTCTTCACTTTCCCTTCTCGTCAGTTCACTTCTTGGCTACCGGAGTTGGCGATGATAAGTGAAGAGATAAGAGCGCCTGGTCTTGGCGTGTGGGGATAACATCAACCTTGTCAGTTGAACCCGTCGACAACCGTTCAAGTTCAGGTTAAGCCGGTGCTATTCGCTGATGATCGTCTCAGTGGACCATCTTCGAGTTCTCGCCAAGTCTTGTCCCCTCTGGTCCACTCCTCGCTTCGAAGTTGTTCGGCGTAACTCCGTACTTGTGGCGAGGTGATTCTTGCTTGTTTTGACATGGGGGAAGATATCGTGAGCAGTACATCTGGAAATATCTGGTTGCATCATGGTGGTTGTCGCTGTTCTCGGTGACTGGGATATTTTCAGGGATTGCCTTGCCAAGCTGCAGGCATTACTGTTGATTGTTAACTGTAACCTGAGGCATCCGTGATTTGATTTCAGTTTAATGTGGATATTCCTGATATTTCCTCGGCGCAACATATAGCCGAAATGTTCACCGCGCGTCTCGATTACGAACACATAACGATTTGATAAGATACGTATGATAAGACATGGAGCATCAACACCAAGCTACTCGATAACGTCTGTTGAGGCTCTTGGTAGGAGGACCACTTATATCTGGAGCTAGTAGGAAAGAGCATCGTGATTCCCGGACATTTTTTGGTTCAAACGTCGTCATACATTCTCCTAAGCGCAGTTGAATGCTGCTGGTTTTCAAACTTCTGGCTTATTAGGCTGAGTTCAGCAAGAATATTTTACTGACCGCTTCGACGTTCAGCATCACATCACCACGTGCAGTAGATATTAGTTCGAGACACGGGCAAAAAGCTCCTCGACGTGCTCAAGTTGCTGCATGTATTTGATATCATCCGTTAATTTTGATGCAGTGAAATCTATATACAGGGTAAGTTCCACAGAAGAAGCACCAACGGATGGGGGCTGCTACAGGGGACATCAGTGGTCAGCACCACCTGGATATGTGCCGTGACCAATGACATAGCGCCCTGCAAGCCCCAGACAGCGATTCGAACCAGGAACGGGGGCCTCGATCAGTAAATTGATGATTAACGTCACGATCTATTGGAGGCGGGACCCAGTGACGCACTTCTCTCACACTCTGACAGCACGGTACCCGACCTCTCTTTACCTGCCACGCCCTGACTCCTGACTCTGAGGCCTGCCTACGACAGGCGCAGCTTCGGTCGCGTGAGTTTTTGATTTGACCACATGATAGTTTCATATTCAGCGGGCATTTATTGATCCAGCTCAACTCCCCAAAGTACCTACCTACTGTACCGTCTCTTCGACTGTCTTCTACAGTCCACCGGTTTCTTTCTTTGCTTTTTATCGCATTGTCTCGTGTCTGCATGATATAGGCTCCTCAGCGCCTTTATCTTGCTCGTGATAACCATTCGCAGATACCCAGGTAGCGGACGGATACAGCCCGTCACCTTCTTCGCCTGTTAGCAACACAACTGCCGTGTTGCGATTGCCTGAGTTCGCACTTTACACCCTCCCCGCATCCGGAGTCTACATACGGCAGCTAGATAGCAACAGCTTTAAAAGCACCGAGTGTCTCCTCCAGATTCGAGATTGTCAAGTCTTTTACTACAATATCCTATCGAACACCGCTGCAATGGGCGCGGAAGACACCGGGGGTGATGGGCGACCAGCCTCTTCCTCATCCTCTAATCCACGAAGAACCGACGGCAATCAGTCCGTCGCTCGAGGTGCCAACACACAAGGCTACGACGAACAATCACCTCTACTAAACAATGATACCAACAATGTCCACGGGGAAGCGGACGATTCACAGGTCACAAAGAGCGTATGGTACTTGCTCATATTGACCATCAGCATCGGTGGTCTTCAAATCGCATGGTCTGTTGAACTTTCAAACGGATCACCATATCTTCTGTCTCTTGGCTTGAGCAAATCTCTTATGGCTCTGGTCTGGATTGCTGGACCCTTGACTGGCACCCTTGTTCAGCCATATGTGGGTATGCTCAGCGACAATTGCCGTCTGCCCATGGGCAAGAGAAAACCGTTCATGATTGGAGGATCTGTCGCAACTATACTCTCCCTCTTGTTTCTTGCCTGGGCCAAAGAGATTGTTGGTGGTGCCGCCAAACTCGTGGGTTTTGACCCAGAGTCTAAAGATGTGAAAACAGCAACTATTGTGGTCGCAGTTATTGGTGTTTACGTTCTCGATTTCGCTATCAACACCGTCCAGGCGTCCATCCGTGCATTTATCGTCGACTGTGCGCCAGCTCATCAGCAAGAGTCTGCCAATGCCATGGCCAGTCGAATCACCGGATTTGGCAACATCGTTGGATACATTGCTGGATATGTCGACTTGACTCGTCATCTTGGCTTCCTTGGAAAGACGCAATTCCAGATCCTCTGTGCTATCGCATGTTTTGCCCTTGCCTTGACCGTATTTGTGAGCACCGCCTTCATCAAGGAGAGGGATCCTCGACTTGATGGCCCCGCCAAGAAAGAACAACAAGGCGTTTTCTCATTCTTCTTCACTATTTTCAAGTCAATCAAACGCCTCCCGCCTCAGATCAAGAGGGTATGCGAGGTCCAGTTCTGTGCTTGGGTTGGCTTCTTCCCTCTGTTGTTCTATACGTCCTCTTACATCGGAGAGATCTACGTCGAGCCATACCTCCAAGCGAATCCCCACATGTCTCCGGAACAGCTCAACAAACTGTATGAGCAAGCGACCCGAATTGGTACTTTTGCACTTCTCATCAACTCGATCGTGAGCTTGCTCACAAATGTGTTCCTTCCATTTTTCATTGCTCCGACGTACGATAGCCAGCCAGTCACCGGTATTCCGGGAGAGAGCCCTGCAGGCTACTATGACTCGGATGAGGATGAGAAGCCCTCGTGGTTAGACAAGCTGGCCATTCCTGGTCTGACTCTTAAGCGTGCTTGGTTTCTGTCCCTCCTTCTTTTTGCTGGATGCATGTTCGCCACGCTTTTCGTCCGAACCGTAAAGGCGGCCACCGTACTTGTTGGTCTTGTTGGTATCACCTGGGCGATGACACTGTGGGCTCCATGGGCTATTATCAGTGCGGAGATTAGCCGGAGGGATGCCCTGATCCGAGCTCAAAAGATGCGATTGGCGGCTGCTAGAGCAAACAATGATGGAACTGCAGATGACGAGGAGGAAGAAATCGATCAGGCTGGAGTGATCCTCGGCATCCACAACATGGCGATTGCAGCACCCCAAATCATTGCCACTGTTGGTTCCAGTATCATCTTCAAGCTCTGGCAGAAGCCCAGAGGCACACCAGGAGACCACAGTATTTCTATTGTGTTCGCTCTTGGTGGAGCTTGTGTCCTGATCGCATCGTTCTTCGTTGCCAAGATTAAGGATGATGCCTCTATGCCAGCTGATGTTATGATCGAAGCCGAACAGGGTCAGAGTGGGACAGAAGAAGCCCCAGAACGCCGACCTCTCAGCAGGCGCAAGTCTACCAAGGACCAGCTTCCCAGAACAACCCAGGCTCGGGCCACATTGACACGACACAAGAGTTTCGGAGGCGCCGAAATGCACTAAGAACACACACACACACACGCACGCACACAAACAGACGTATACGCCCCTGAACGAAGCGTGGGAAGGCGCAGGGTATGGAATATGGAATGACATTTGGCTCTATTTCCCAAGTCTAGGAGCATATGGAGAGATGGAATACCAATTTTTCTGTTAATTTGATAAGTACCTAACGCTAGAAGTCCCAGGTATAACGCTGGGCTATAGGTTGGATATTAGAACCACAGTTTCATGTTTATGCTTAGATCAAGAATCACATTCACTCTTCAGCTCGTCTTCATCTTGAATACATCGCCAAGATATCCAAAGGCTTACCCATCTACCGCCATGACGCACAACATCCCCAGGAGAGCCTCCGCCCTCAAATCAATCCATGTGTTTCGGTTCTGCTGACTTGGGACCGCACATGCCGATGGAGACCCTTGTCTCTCCAGGAAGAGGACCAAGGGTAGGGTTGATGGTGGTGAAAGGGATGAAGCGGAAGCACCACAGGACATCGTCATCCTCCCCGCAATAGCTGTAATCACAGTCGAACGACTCTTTGGGAGCAGCTGTGACGGCAGAGGCATCAGTATCGCAAGCCTCTGGGTTGCCAGGGAGGGCCAAGGCTGTTGAGGCGAAGAGTAAGACGAGATAGTTGATGGGGAACATGTTGAAAGTTGTGACGCTTCTGTTTTAAGTTGGGCAAAAGACTTTCTGTTGCCAAAAATTCCACCAGAGGAAAGGCTTCTTTATACAGAGATATAGTCGAACAAGTACTACATTCGAGAAGGCTTCCCTGTACTCGATATACTAACAAGTACTTGTTTGCGTTGCAAATGATGATATATAGCCCTCACATGATTTTGTAACTGGGTTCCATATGGATTAGAACAACAGAGAGCCAGTACAATAAGCGAAAAGCCGCGTATGAAGTCGGCAAATGTGGTTTTCAACTCCTATACCTGAGGCAAAGAATTTCACAAGGCGGATATAATCGCCGAGAACTGTAAGACCGGGCGGGAGTGTTGCCCTTCGGGAGACTGTTAGGTTTCAGTTAGTGTAATTTATTTGTACACCGGCCTCCAAGTGGCTCTCTTTTACATGGATAGCATCTTGTTTCCAGCCTTTACCCACAACGACACAACAACTCCGATGCTCGTTACCCAAACCAAGCTGCGTACCCGTGATAGTCGGGGATTATCCTGCAACCACAGGTAAGCGATGTTGTACAGAAGACGGCTCACAACATAGCCGAGACCGAGGGCATTGATGGTTGGTGTTGGTACGTCTGCAAAGTTTACGGCCAGGATACCTGCGGCATAGAAACCAATAGTTTCGAGGCCATTTTCTGTGGCCGCTTTTGCGCGGAGGAGGAATTGTTTATGCTACAACTGTTAGTGGGAGACGTGAGATAGACAACGAAACTTACAGATTTATCAAGAGTCTGGCAGTTGGTGATTCTGTCTTTGTGTGAGCGAGGGTTGCAGTTGTCGTATGTCCCCCTGGCACCTGCAGTGATGGTGTAGGCATGAGGAAATGTGATAATGAAGAATGCAGCTGGGACCTAAAATATATAAGTTGAGAGTTGATCATGAAGAGAAGAGGGACGTACTGTGAAGAAGGAATAGTTCTTTGTGAGATCGAGACCAAGAAAAGACTCCATTGTGGTTGATATGAGTAGTGTGATGAAAAGAGAGCTATTTGGTGATGAATGAGATGAGTTCAATTATACGATGGTGACCTCTGTTTTAAGCCACAAACAACAAAACTGTTGAGAACAACAACTCTTTGATGAGATTTAATTATCGTGAGTTTCTGGAAGAATTATCAAACTTGCCCGACAGTTTAATAATCAGGCGTAACTGTTGGTCAGACCCGCTTCGAGTATGAGCATGTTGAGTTAGCATAACGGTTATGATCAACCCAAGTGAGGATAACGACTGTTGAACCACGTGGTAACTGCCTATTCAATTCTACTGATAAGTAATGAAATAGTCAATGTTATTCTTAACACGATGAGAGCAGAGGAAAGTAATATCTCATGACTACGGGCATTATGCCAATGACAAGAAGAGGTAAAAATCCAGCCATATCGGGTTTGGTGCATCCATCCCCAACACCACTAACGTCGATCAATATGACTAAGAAACAGGGGCATTCTCAACGTCTTTCAACATCATCAGTCTTCTTCTTTTAATAATAACAGCCTCCGCGATAAACACGTTCAGTAATCACATCACGGAAAACATCCAAACTAGGCTCGTAAGACTTGCATTGCTAAATACTTCATATGCTCGCATGGTCATCAACCACTTGTAGCCAAGAGATGACTATATATATGTACTGAGAAGAGTAAAGGCTGATATAAGAAATCTAGAATCGAAAATGCTTTGACAGATGTTCAAATATCTGTTAAAATGTGATGCAAAACAGCCGCCACCGCCCACTTATTTCTTTCCTTCTTGTGTCTGGGGGTATCTCATTATTGTAAAGAAGAGAAGCTCAACCTGCTCATGCAAGGTATCGCTTCGAGATGATGGATCGCTTGGACCCGACTCGCCAGCCGTTTCCGTCCCAGCTTGTGGTGCCACTTGATTGGGACTGGCTGGTCTTGTAGGCTCCAGGGCCATGGTATTGGCCATTATCGTAACTTTGGCCAGTGCTGTAGCCACCGCCTTGGCCTTGCTGTTGCTCAGGAGTATAACCGTTGCCTTGGCCTTGGCCTTGTTGACTGTCAGGAGAGTATCCGTCACCGTTCTGACCTTGCTGACCGTTCTGAGTGCCTTGTCCTGGCTGAGTATTGGGTGGGTTGGTCTGGCCATCACCGTTTCCGCTCTGGCCGTCACCACTGTTACCATTACCCGAGTTTCCGTTACCAGAGTTACCGTTACCTGAGTTATTGTTGCCAGAATTTCCGTTTCCTGAGTTGCCATTGCCGGAATTGCCATTGCCAGAGTTGCCGGTACCACTGTTTCCGCTACCGCTGTTACCGCTGCCGGAGTTGCCGCCACCGGTGGTTCCATTACCACCGCCATATGAAGCTCCCTGAACGTAAACCTTGATACTGTTTACAAGCCAGTAGGCGTTCTTGAAGTCAGCGGGGTTGTTGGCAACATAGTCCTTGCAGTCTCCCAAAGACGAAGTCTCTGGGTTCTTGCCCCAGACATCAGGAGAGCCAGCCCAATCACCACAGAAAGTAGTATCAAAGACGATGTTGTTCTCCTTGAAGTGATCGTCGATGTTGCAGCCTTGTCCGCCGTTGAACTTGGCAGCGGGAGGACCCCAGGATGAAGGGGTGGGGTTACCGGACTGGATATCTTGCGGGATGCGGCCGCGATGGAAGAACCATACAGCAATGTGGTCGGATGTCCACTCAGTGGCGTAGACTCCACCGCCAATGTCATTGAAGCCATCGCCGTAGTTCTGGTTGTCGGATGTGTTCTGGCCACAGCCCGCAGAGGCACCAGCAGAGTCGCAGTTCTCGGACTCGAGGGTGGTGCCATGAGTGGTGCCATCATTGGTGATGCTGCAGCCAGGTCCAGTATGGAGGCTGATCTTGTTCTCGGTCTGAGTGTTGACACCCTCAAGGATATCAATCTCGCCAGAGGTTGGCCAGTTGGGACCGAACATCCAGTATGCGGGCCAGACACCGGGGATGCTGCCAGGCATATGGGCAATATCGGCGATGAAGAGACCGTGAGTGAAAGCGTCGTGGGAAGTGACACGGACAGACCTTCGGCCGTTGGAAGGGCTCTTTGTCTGGTAGTCTACACCCATGTAGACAGCACCGTCGACATAGCCAGCCAGACCCTCAGCGTTAGCGGCGCCGGCATCGACGTAGTCAACAAAGCCATGTGTAGGATCCTCCTCGTTGAAGAACTCGAAGGCCTCGAAAAAGTTGGAAGAGTCGTATGTGGTCTTGAGGGAGTACTGAGAGTAGGAGTTGTTCTGTGCAAAAGCACCATTGAGGAAGGCCGTGAGGCCTAGTGCGAGGATAGAGGAATGCATTGCTTCTGTTGTCTTTGGAGAAAAGACGAGAAGAGGTGTGTTGTTTTATTCGCAAGATCGATTCTGATTTGAAGCTGAAGTTTTTGAGTGAAGGAGAGAATGCGATGAAGTCGTTCACAGAGATGCTTTGTGTCGTGTCGGTGGTGTATCAGAGTGAGGCTGATGGCTTGAATCTGGAGCGCAATAACCAAACGATTTATAAGAATAGATTCGTGAACTATTGTCTATACCAAGAGATGGTGTCTGAATGAGGGAATCCCCAGCCAATAGTGGAGGGAGGGCTGGAGGGGGGAGGCTATCGAAGTGAGTGACAATAGCTCTGGCACTGCCAAGGAGGTAGGTAGCCAAGCGATATAATTACTGCTCCTAATCAATAGAAAACAGTAGCAAAACCAGGGCACAAAAAAGAGAGTGGATGGCAGAGAATGATAAAACAAGACGGTCAGCCAGCTACCGAAAGGATTGAACGGTGATGGCGACGAATGCAGCCAAGAAAGAAGTGAAGGAGTGGATGTGTCTTCTCTAAATTCCCAAGAACAGCTCAGCCCAGAGTAACCAGACACTGAAGACGGAAAAAGCCAAGGCAAGGGAAATACAGAGAGAGAGAGAGAGAGACAGAAGCAGAGAAAGAAAAAAGAGTGAGGTTGGTTATGGTCTAGTAAAGATAGGGCTTCCAAGGGGAGGGAATGCGGGAGCTATGTATAAGTTTATGTCTCTGATATTGGACGGAATGTCTTACAGCCTCTCCTTTCGAACGCCAAGCTATTTGGAGAAACGAGACTAACCATGTTTCTTTGTTACTCTCCCACCCCTTGTCTCGTTTGGGGGGTGGTGTTGCTTCTATCAGTTCATGCTTTAGAGATCAGATGGATGCTAGTGCTGTGCAGGCCATATGCTAAAGATTCCGAAACGATAGCCAAGGGGCCCTTGAACAAGTCAGGACTTTTCATACAATAGAGTGCCACCAATAGAATCTCCCATAGCCACCTTTGTCCAGAGGCTCTGATGCGTAGCTTGACAGTCCGATTCAGAGAGGGCCAAGGCCAATCACTCCAGCGGAGAAAAAGCTTAGCGGAACCATTTATGTATGGCCTGGCGTGCTTGGAGATGGCCGGTTCAGGCAGGGAGATGGATATGTCGAGGCTTGTGATAGGCTGATGTCAAGTAGACGGGCGGGTTCAGGGGTTTGCATTCACTAGAGAGCACGCTATTTTACAGTGGAGTGTGGCAGGGGCTTTGTCCAAGTGAGTGGGAGTGGGATGAGAAACAGCTGACGACGAAACAGAAACATTCAGCTGAGTTGGTTTTTCTGCTGGAATTCTCTATTGTGGTTTATTGATTACTTGCCTGAATACTATTGTTATCGAATTCATTAAACAAATAGACTGCTATCTACATGTGTAGCTACCATGGACCCAGACTTGGTATCCATAACAGCGCTTCTATAGCCGCGCGCTCAACTCGTTTCTATCCATGGATCCCTGTCTCTCCACCTGATGCCATCCATGGAGGTTGAAGCCCAGTCTAACAAGAACAAAGAACATCCAACAAAGGACTCAGCATGAATTACATCTGATCTTGAGCCCATCTTGATCGTTCATATTCAAACTAGGCTGAATTCATTCCTGACCAAGACATTTTCAGTCTCTTAGCCTCGACGCGCGTTTTCCAACCGCCGCCACGCTCATGCAAACAATGACCTATTCTGAAACATAGCCTCAGGAATGGAAGCCAGACTAGACCTTTCTATCCCTTCTCCCTGCCTACCTTACTGTTGGACACACACTCTCTCCCACGCTGCTGACGCTGACCTCACTGCAAAACCTTTCTGCCACCTCCTTTCTATTCTATTCTCTTCGACACTCCAACATTTCCACTTTGAATCTTCAAATTCTATGTTATCTACACATCGTATCCGTACTCTCCTGACAAGGTTAGTCTGCGTCAACGGGCGGAGAATCAACTCCCGGTCTATTTCTTCCGTGCCGTGGTCCCGAAATCACATCCCGGCAGTTATGATCTCGGCTCTATAGACGAACAAGATCGACGCCCTTCTCAAGGTCCAGGGCCATCCTAACAACCTCCATCTTTTAGACTTTTAGAATGTCGTGATCTTTCCCCTGATTGTAGTCTCGCTACGCATATTGTATCAGCTTGATCTCTGTCTGGGATTATCCTTGCCTATAATCATCCATCACTTCCGAAGGATCTCATTCGACATGAAACAGTTTCACTTCACGCATCTTAATACCTATCATATAATTCCCCGTACGTGGTTAAACATTTCTTTCGGACCGATCTCACTCCCAGCTGATCGGGTGTGTATGTTCGTTCTAATTGACAGCCACATGAAACTCTACATACATCCTCCTTCACTACCTTTTCATATCTATAAAACACTCTCTATCTCCTCTCATTTCATACCAAAAGGTTCGGTAAGCAGGCGATGCTTCCGAACTCAAACCTCTCCGTGCGATATGCAGCCGAGATTTCCCCTTACATCTCACGGCTGTCGCAGTATTCTTTCTAATGCCTCGTCTAAGTGGGTATATGCAGTCGAGAAAAAAAAAAGCAAATCATGTACAGAACTCCGTGGCAAGCATCAGCACAGTCATACGATAGACTGTTTTCGTGTCCGTTTCCCGTATATCGTCTCGCCGACCTGATGCGTCTATATCCCAACAATCGAGTAATCGTCGCTTCATTCATCTCACAGCCTTATTCAAGTGCTCTTCACAACTTGACCTTCTTGCCGGTGAGCTTGAACCAGATGACCGCAATGAGATCCTCCTTAAAGCGCTCCCAAGGGTTTCGGTTGAGCCAGTAACTGAACTCACGGTAATAGTACATCTCGCCCCAACAGTCTCGGCCCCATTCGCACCCTGCCATGTTGACCAGGAAATCGCGCTGGTTCTCTTCATAGTGGATGTGCTTATCCTTGGGGCCACCGTCGGGGTTGCAAGCTCCAGGCGGGAAACTGTTGATCTTGCGCTGATGTAGGAAGCCGACATGCTTGCGCACCCACGGCTGCGTTTGATATAACTGATCCAACGCATCTTGCTCTTTGTGTTCCCACTGCATGTGCTTCTGCTCATATGTGACAGGATCCCACCAAACGTCGAGGAGTCGGTCCGTCCAGTCGCTGCGCCGCATGAAGAAGGATCCTAGGTTGAAGCCGGCGCAATCCTGTGTCATGATCATGTTGATCGAGTTGGCCTTACCATCTCCAACAGGGCTTCGCGAGACCTCATCGAGATAATGATGGGTGAAAGGATGCGAGATGTTGCGAGGGTTGAAGTAGTTGATGTCGCGCTCGACTTCTGACTCAAGGTGGTTGAAGATGTGGTCTTGAAGTGATATCGAGGGCTCCATGACAAACGTATTCAAGTCCAGCCACCAAACCCTGATATCGTGATTAGTCTTGTGTTCCATACGCACACGCACAGCACAGTCAGGCTCAGCTTACCATTCGGCCTTGGGATACTTCCTCAAGGTCGACCGGATAAAGTCGACCTTCTCCCAGCTCTCCCGCCACTCGTGCGCATACTTCTTCTTGGTGCTCATGTCCACAATTTCCAAGTCGTAGCCCCATCGGTTGACGTACTTTCGCTTGTTTCGCACGCTGTCTCGCTCGATAGCCCATTCTCTGGCGCCTTTCCACTCCATGACACCACCTCCAACATTTGCGCCCAAGATAATGACAAACTTGTTGCCGCCACCGAACGATCTCCTCCAGTAATATACAAGAGCTGCAAGGATCAGTCATATTCGAAAACGCAAGGTAAGCCAGGGGCAACTTACGGGTTGTGTAGAAAATGGTATAGCAGAGTATCGCTACCAGCATGAATAGTAGAAGCATCTTCAGTCTTCTGCCCATGCGCCCATAAATCGATCGTATTCTACCGGCGAGCGGCACCTTTCGAATCCATCTTGGTCCCCGTCCATGCTTTTCCTTCCAAGTTTCACGCTGCCCGTGAAACTGCGGGAGACTACTCGATAGTCGCCGCATGTGTCTGCTGAAAAACCCCTTGTTTTGAGTTGAAAACGAAGAAAATGTGCTAGAGTTGTGAGGTCGCATCTTAGCCGATTCCCATACAACAGGGCCGCCGCTCACGTTCGCCGGAGTCGACCTCCCACTGTCAAGGCTCAAGCCTGGACTTGACCAGCCACCACCGGGAACAGGTGAAGGGCTTCGCGAAAGGGTCATGGAAGGACCTGGGGTATCTGTAGGAGGCGGGCTCAGCGATTAGCCCGCGAACTAGGTTGACTGTAGTTGATGGTCCATGGAAGTCAAAGACAAGCAAGATATATCTATATCAGAAAAGAAGAAGAAAAAGGAAGCAGCGAGAGTAATGTGTGTAGGTAGCGGATGAAGCAAGGATGACCAAGAACAAGTCAAGGCTGAGGCCACGCACAAACTAAGGCGGAATGACGGGTACAAGAGTATAAAAAGAGAGACAGTGGGGAGGATAACAGTCGAAAACATTTAAGGGAATCCGCCAAGAAGCATCAAGGTATGAGAACTGAGACATTGACCAGACAACTGGAGAGCATCACTACCAACTGTACGTACCTGGAACTGGAGATAAAGGACTGTTGTGAGGCTGCTGTGGCCTCTGGGGATCGGAGGATAGCAAACCTGGGTTGATCACGATATGGCTGACAGAAGACCGTTGTCTGGTATGAAATGCACGGGAAGGGCGATCGCTAAACGAGCTCGAAGAGCCGAAGGGTGAGCGTGATGAAGCCAGCTTGAGCAACGTCGCAATCGGCGACTTCTAAGAAGGGTGCCGCTTATGCCGGGTATCGCGAAGTGGAGGGTGAGGGGCAGCAACTCTCGTAAAGGGTCGCAATCACGAGGCTCAAATTGCTGTGATAGCACAGCTTGGTGTTGTATCTTTTTTTCTTCTCTCTCCCACTCCGCCTCTTCTGCCCAGAGTCGCAGGAACGAGAAGTTCGCTTTGGCGCCACACAGGTCCCGACTTTTCCACCTTGGCAAGGGAGGGTAACCAGACGTTCTCCAGAGTAGCCAACCACGGCCGCAACTGTTCAGCTCGAAATGTGGCGCAGAGTCAGAATATAGTGGGCGGAATGGAATATCGGGGATCGTGACGGGGCGATGGGTGGCAGTACCGTATACGAGGATTGGGCGACGTTGGCAGGTATACGGATGGTACGCAAAGACAAAACAGTCGATGCGATGCAATGCGATGGTGGTGACAGAAATAGGTTAGAATTTCCCGTCGTGGTGGGTGGATGATGGCAGAATCCGCAGCGAAGCAGGGCAGTGATGGCGCAGTTTTCTTTTGGCTTTGTCGTATCGACACTATCCCAGTCTAGTAGGTACAGTAGCTTCAGCGATGGAGCTTCTCAAGGATTCGGTGTGATTTCTTTTGGATTGGATTCAATAGTAGATCGCTGAATATACCGGTAGCGAGGAATAAAACGAGTGTGATACACCGAACCGCAATGCTGTGATGTGCAATCGTTGAATGTCCAGTGATGCAATGACTGCGATGCGACTGCGGGAGTAACGGTGACCAACGGTGTAAATGCAATCGAGTCTTGTCGCAACTGGATCTGAGTAAGATGCAAGATACTGCATTGACTGGAATACACTAACAAATTAGCCGAGTCAGTCACTGTGCTCGATGGGAACCTCGTATCGCATCGTATCGGTCGATAACACGGCTTCGTTCGCTACCCACCTAGGTAATGTACGTTCGCTTCGTGGTGGAAAGTTAAAGTTAGGAAAGGATAAGAATGCAACAAGTCAAATTATTGCAGCAGAAGCCAAGAAAATACAAGCAAAGACCAACTACGAGTACCGTTCTCAGGGGGTGGTGACCTTTTCTTTTACTTCAAGGTTCCCTTCCCATAAACAATAGGGGATCCTGGACTATCAGAGCTAAGAAAATAACTATGCTACACTTGGTTCTAATCCGATCCTGAGAGTTTCATTTTCTTGAGAAGACCAGGGGATAACATCGTAACTCATACCGTACTCCATCTCTGTGTAACAAAAGATCCTTTGCATGCAGGCACAGACACAGGCCAAGAAGATGACAAGCTGCAGTCAGCCTCTTCGCTACTGTTGCATTGGGACTTGAGTGACCTCTACTGGAAAAGGCGACATTTTTCGAAGCAATGACGGATACCTTAGCTAAATTTCATAGGTGCCCTTCTAGCCCTTCTATTTTTCTTCTTCTTTTTTAGCCTTGGACCCCTATCTCAGGCCAGGAAAAAAAGAGAGCGAAATTACGTCAGAGTTTATCTGCTTCAATCTGCCGAGACAAGTGACTGGAACGATCAGATTGAAGAGCAACTGCCAGACTGAACCAGTACTTGTCTTGTAGGGCGAAAATGTCTTGGGCTGGTGATTCTTCCTTTCCCTCTTTAGGACTTCTTTTTCCAGGTGCTGATGCTCAGATTGTATAACTCACTGATACATCCTACTTCTGATTGCCTTCGTGGCATTTTGACAGCCCAAGGACCCCACATTCCTCATTGAATTTCAGGTTCAGGGGGTGTAACCGTTAACGGAAAGCCAAGAGGTAGCGGTAATCCGCTACTGAGGGGTGATTTGGGTTCGAAACCACACACTTCCAATGTCCGTACATGATGTTCACGACGACACTCCGCAACTACCGTGATTATCTTTTCCAATCTCGCCTCCGATCTTGTATATACCGATGCTCATTTCTATTAGCTTTGGGGGGTTACATTAAATCAAACCTACAAGCCAAGCCTGTGCCTGTCAATCACGACTTGAGCCTCCAATGAGCATTCGCGTCGCTGTCATTTCATCTGTCAAAATAGAAGGCATGCATGGTGTGCACAAACCTTCCTGTCAATCTTGTTTTGACAAATCCAGGCAGAGTGAGGTGTGCTTTGGCACGTGATGCGTGCCAGAGATGATGTTTGATCGCTCTTTGCTGCTTCAGTTCGAGATATTCTATAGCATCCACCATGAATGAACCAGGAAGCCCTCAGACAAGTGTCTCCAATTGGCGGCCTCCCGCAAAGCGTACCTGAATGCTCAGAAACCGAATCATGAGACACCGGCATGAGATGCAACATTGTCCCGAATGGCCATGATGGCCTCTGGAGAACGGTGAACTCGATTTGACCAGGCCAGTTTAGCGGCCTGTTCAACGCTGAGAGGCGCAGAAGAAATCTCTTCGTCTTGAGTACGCGTCCACAAACAAGAGTTTGTCAAGTCAAACAGGTACCAAGGACATCCAACCCGTGATAACGAGGGTCTTTCACATTGACCCGGTCATACTCTCCATAATCAATATACCTGAAATCACGACCGAAGATATCAGAAATGACCTGATGAGACTCATCTGAATCATCGCTTCAATCGCATTACCAGGTTCAAGCGTGGCTTGATTTCATTACAGGCTTTGTCTCGACCAGCCAACAAACACCACAAGCTAGGCCAAGTGGCCGCTTTCGAGAAGGAAGACCAACGCTTTTGTATCCAACATGTGTGTATAATTGACAGACTAGCAGCAGCCGGATACCGGACCCTTCCATCCGAATACGCTTTGCATCGCGACAATGGCCAATCGAGCCTTTTCCCGCCTCTCCATCAGAGAAGTGTGTTGGGCTGGGCTTTTACCTAGCGAGCAATCTCCCTAGTCCTTGTCAAATCAATTCTGGTTCGATATACCAGTCGCAGATTCCAGGCGTGGTCGCCAATACAACGGCCTACGAATCACACACACGCCAATGCCGGCGCTTAGAACTGACCAATCACATACTCGAACCACAGAAGGATGGCGGCTATTCCACACTCTCGGTTGCCCCAAGTCATTCAATTCACGGCCTATGAGCTATTGTTCAACGTTTGGACCTCAAATGCTTTATTTGGCCATGCATCGAATCGATGCGGCCTTCTTATTAGAGACCAATCAAGATGCTTTGCGCCCTTGGCTCTGCTCAATCCTGGTGGGTTTACCTGGGACCATCTTCAGATCCACAAGCAACAATACTACAGCATGCAGTTGCTCGAGGTGCTATTATCGGCCGCATCCTCACTTTGATTCACTTCCCTATTGTTGTAGTTTTAACCATTCTCCCCACCCTCAAGTGATCCTTTGTCTTTTCATTCTCTCTCTTGGCTTCTTATTGTCGCTGTCGGTCTTTGATTGTGAACAAGCCATTCTTGTCACATCCTATTGTTCACATTCTCTCCTTTGTTCTACTACATACTAACTGGATTTTGGTCTGTATCGCTTGCTTCCAACAGACGATCATCTAAACGACCGGGACTTTGACATTCCGAATTTTCATCCAAACAACGACGATATAGTCATCTGTGGAAAATCAAACACCAAAAGATACGGTTTCCATCATTCGATCATCAGCTATACATGTCTAAACACTAGATACTGTTAGCTTTCCTTCTTTCACTTTTCATTTTGTCTCCCTTTTTCTATTCAAAATACTTGTCCTTACACCATGAGCAACGATATTCATAATCAAGCCCCGGTACACCCACCACCGTACTCTGAAGCTCAACCACGGCGTCGAGAAGAGTGGGAGGATTGGGAGGATGACGAGCCTATCACGCCCATAGACGCCGGAGAGCAAGTCTTTCCAACTCCGCTGAATGTGCCCATTCGAAACTCCAAACCCTCAACACGACGTGCATCAAGAGCCTCTGCTGCAAGGATTGTCCGGGTCAAATCACGTCAGAGACAGAAGGTCCAGAATGCCAAGGCAGGCATCAAGCTTATCACGGATATGTCAACGTTCCGCCGTCAGAACTACATGCCAACACCGGTGGGACGAACTGGTAAATTTGTAGATGCTGCTGCTTTAAAGGCATTGGAGGGAGAGCCAACATCAGCTTCAGTAGGAAATTGGAATTGGTTCAAGAAGAGCAAGGACCAGAGTCCAGCAACTGCTTCGCCGCAGTCATCAGCCCAGCCAGCTCAATCAGCACGTACACCAGACAATAAGCTCTCGCCGGATGATAGGCCTATCGTTATTGGCCTGGCTCTATCATCTGAGGAAGCGGGCAACTCTTCCCGATATGACGTCGCTCCGACACCCGTTGAACCTCCAGCACAGCCGTATTTGCCTCGAAACCCTTCTTCTTCAAACCTGTCTCCATTCCTAGTTCAGCAGAAGTCAGTGTGGTCACCTGATACACCCGACACCGTTTCCTCATTCACCACCATTCGATACGCCTCAAGCATTTATTCGCAGTTTCCATCTCCCGGCACGACAACGGCCGTCAATGTTCCACCTGTGCCTGCAGTTCCAGCAAACTTCAAGAAATCAGCTCATCAGAGGCTCATCAGCTTAGAACTGGGAGGCAGAACCCCCGATGACTCTGATGGCGGTACGCCATGCACACTGTTTGAAGAAGATGGCACTTCAAGCCCACACAAACAAGCAAGGGGAAAGACATCAGCACTGACGCCCGATAGTGCTGCGTCCAAGTCCCGTGGCTGGTGGGATCATCATGTTGTCACTCCTTTTATGGAGAACAGACTGACATTCACTACCAGTCCAAAAGTGTATACTGACTCACCAAAGAGTATCCGAGGGGATGAATGGTGGAACAAGCAGGAGACTAAGCCCCCGCAAGGAGTGTATCTCACACCGAGCTTGGCTCCTGGCTCATTTCAAACACCAATCGTCAAAGAACCAACGCCACGCAGGACACCATCACCCCGTTTTGAACAGACCCAAGAGAGCGAGTCTGGACCTTCAACTGCAAGGGCATCCCCCGTTCCTGAAACCACACCCAATTCAGAAAAACCACGAATACTTGTGACCGAGGAGGAAGAAAGTATTGGGGAACAGCTGCCTGCATACTCGCCCCCCGAAAAGAAGAGCCAGGCTGCTCCAGTAAGGTACAGGGCCGTCTTTCCACCTGGACATCCGCTTCAAAGCCAGTTCCCGCCCTCGCCCGGTCCTGTGTCGCCCGGTCTCTCTTATACCATGTCATCCCAACGAGCTGAACAACTAACTGATATTCCACTCACTCCGGCCCCGCGAGACAACCTGCGTCTCTCTCAAATGCCACTCCCAACACGACCGCTGGGCACCTCTGCACCCCGAGAATACTCCCATGGCGATGCCGAACACGCCACCAAGCATGAGCGCAAAAGAAGACGCAACGAGAAGGAAGAGGCTGTTGCACGGCGCCTTGGTGGTTTCTGGAGAGGTCGAGGATGTATTCCTGAGAGGGGTTGCTTTGGTCGGACTGGACGCGAGGGTCGACAGCGCCGTCGTGTCTGGATGATTATTCTGGGAGTTTTCCTTGCCATTATTATTCTTTCGATCACGTTAGGCGTTGTTCTGACACGCCCCAAGCATTCAGAGAAAGTGCCATCAATCTGGGTCAACTTGACGGATTTCCCACCCATGCCAACCGGAGACTTGACAATCGTTGGACCGGACAATACCGTCGCGAGGAGTGGCTGTACTGAGCCATCCACCATGTGGAGTTGTTCTCTACCGAAGGAGCAGCATGACTCGGTGAAGCCTTACAAGCCTGACCAGCCAACCATTGTCCTGCAGATTCAGTGGGACAACAGTACCCGTAAGGATTGGAAGACTCCCAACGAAGATCCTCCTTCGTTGAAGGAGCGTCGAGGTATGGGTGGTGCCGCATATGCAGGAGACACTATCCGAGCACGGGAGACGCCCGACTTCGAGCCCAGCCCTAGTCCACCCAAATTCCAAGAGATGTGGTTTCTAGGAAATACAACAGACAATATCAAATCCGATAAAAAGGGCGGCGAGGCGACTCCATTCTACATCAGTCTGGTTGATTCTGTCGAGGAGAGTAGCCGCAAAGAGCTGACCAAGAGGCAAGAATTGGACGTGAATGTTAGCCTTCCCGAGGTGCTCCCACCCCCTGATCTTAACGGGAATGGCGCATCCAAACCAGCTGTCCTGCTCCCGCGACCGATACAGCAGCCAGTGAGGCTCTACGACCGCGGACTTCCGACCGAGCACTATGGCTTTTACACTTACTTCAAACGGACCATCTTCCTTAAGTCGGTAACGGTTCTTAATGATACCAAGGATGGAGACATACCCCTAGATGAGGATGGTGGCTGCCGAGAGACAGAGGCTGATTTCATTGCAACATGGAGCGAGACACGCTTTCTCGTTCAGATCTGGACACGCACACTGGCTGCTAATACATCGAAGCTGATCGAAGCTACTGGGCAAGGCAGCATCGACGGATCACCAGAGCTGATCCGACCGGGAACAATGCCGTACCCAGTGACAGTGACCATGGATACGCATGGAGGAGATCCAGGGAAAAAGTTTGTCTGGGCCTGGCCTATCGATGATAGACAGAAGATTGATGATGAGAACCCTAAGCTACTGGCCAACGACATAGGAGCTGGTGGCACGTGGATCAACAAAAGGTCTCGAGGAGACGAAAAGTTTGGCGGATTCGACGGCGGGACCGGAGGATGTAAATGCCAATGGGTGAATTGGGTGTGAAGATATTTACTGTTCACCTATTAATTGATTAATGATGGGATGTATTTAGGTATGCATCTAACATGAAAGCATTGCAAAGGGCGTTGTGGGACATTCAACCCCAGAGGGCATTTTGAGTTAATAGTTATTAGCAGATATTAGTTAAACACGTCAACTTGTCTCTGTTTCTATTGTATCTCCTTGATGTTTAGAAATGATAGTCATGATTCAATTTAGTAAGATCCGATACGTCTCTTTGATGTTGTTCGGGCCCCCACTCTGACGGGTGAGTGGGGCCGTTCCGTGTTGGGGCCGTGGCCCAAAATAACTTCACATCAAGTAATTGGATGTCTATAGATTTGTCTATCATCACCCTTTCAATAATCCTCAGATCCTCGCGCAGATGCGCTGTCTTCTTCAATGTCGTCATAGGAGTGTACTCCTTGCCTTCAGGCCTCGAAGGCTTCGTTTTCTCACAACCCTCGCCATTGAGACATCCTGCGATGATACAGGCGTTGCCGTTCTTCGCCATACACCAGAAGCAACTGAACTCCTCTTCAATGAGCGCATATCCTCAGATAATCGCGCATTCAAGGGTATACACCCCATTGTAGCGGCCAAGGGCCATAGTGCGGCTTTAGCACCTCTTGTGCGTCGCGCCCTAGACACTCTACCAGCTGCTGAAGATGGCAGCCAGAAATTCTGTGATGCTGGTGGGGTGAGAAGGCAAGTTCCGGACTTTGTGTCTGTGACTCGCGGGCCTGGGATGCGCTCGAATTTAGGAATCGGCCTGGATATGGCAAAAGGACTGGCTGTTGCTTGGGGCATCCCGTTGGTAGGCGTTCATCATATGCAGGCTCATGCGTTGACACCACGACTGGCCCGGGCTCTGGGGATGAGTATGGGCGAAAAGGAGGCGTCTAAAGAGGGACCAGAGTTTCCATTCCTGTCCCTACTTGTCTCAGGCGGACACACTCAACTTGTTCACTCTACAGGCCTAACAGAGCATTCTATCGTTGCTACAAGTGGCGATATTGCTATTGGCAATCTTCTTGACCAAACAGCTCGCGATATCCTACCTCCTGAGGTTTTTGAAGCAAGTGAGCATGTCATGTACGGTCGCCTTCTTGAAGCTTTTGCCTTCCCACCAGAAAATAGCTTGACTTCTGCCTATGAGGCTGTTTTCACACCACCAGCTTCTCGTTCCGCAGAGATGACTCCTCCATCCACGGGCTATGAGTGGAATATCCCCACGCCTTTTCGGCAAACACGAAAACTTGCATTCTCATTCAGTAGCATCTACACACACGTTCACGATCTCGCAACCTCCCGCCCTTCCATGTCTCTATCTGAACGCCGGGCACTGGCACAGCATACTATGATGGCAGCTTTTACACACCTGGCAGGCAGATTATGTATCGCTCTCGATGACAAGCCAGAGTTTCGAGCTGCAAAGACACTCGTTGTGGCGGGTGGAGTGGCGAGCAATAAATTTCTCATGCACGTCCTGCGGTCTATGTTGGCTGTAAGGGGCTTTGGGGACATACAAATTGTTGCCCCGCCTATAGAGCTCTGTACAGATAATGCAGCCATGATTGCTTGGACGGGTATGGAGATGTATCAAGCTGGCTACGAGTCTGAGTTGACCGTGACGGGGATTGGAAAATGGTACATGGATCCTGAAGTTGGTGACGGGATATTGGGAGTTGATGGGTGGGTGAGAAGAGACATCAAGGACTCAACTCTTGAGAAAAATTGAGAAAAAATTGTAAAACTATTTGAACTGTGTATGCTACCAGCATGAGCGGTGTTTACATGACAGGTTGTCTAGTATTGTAGTTTAGTTGACTTTATGTAGGCATCACTACTAGGTATTGGAGTTTAGGATACCTATTTTAGGCAGGGAAAAGCCTTTATTGGATATATTACACCGTCTTTCTGGATTCTAGGTCCTGTAGACGCGTAAGAGCCATCTCTATCACACAGGCTACATCTGTCTGCGCGTCTCAAATCCTAGGCTCACGGGATCTTTATTTCTAATCCCAGAATCCTCTAATCGAGTGCGCTTGTCACGTTGGTAAACTCGCCCTTCTCAAGCTTGGTCTTCCAGAAAATGGGGTTGGTGTCATTGAAGCCGTGCTTCACCCAGCCCTCTTCCTTGACATGGTACAGGTTGATGTAACCACCAGAGTAAGCATCTCGGTGGGTGGCGGCCAAAATACTTCGCTTTCCAAGCTCCAGAGCCTCCTCATCCGACAGATCGTACTTGTACTCGGCATCGAGAACACCATAGGCGAATGTTTGACCTGAGCCAACACAGAACAGGTTGCCCGCCAAGCGAGTACCATCGCTATCGACGTAATAGAGAGCAGGGCCCTCCTCCTTGGTGACACCGGCGCACATGGTACCCATGCTGAGACCCATTCCCTTGTAACTGTAGACGAGGTTGGCGAGGATCTTGCTGGCGGCAGCAACGCTGATGCGGCGCTTGTGTCGTAGCTCATGGAGGCGACACTGCATGCCGAGCCAGGCAAGCCAGTACTGACAGTCTGCAGCACCACCGGCCATGGTTCCTAGCAAGACACTGTTGATCTCGATGACCTTCTTTACAGTTTGCGAGGCGATCCAGTTGCCAGCGGTGGCTCGAGAGTCGGTCGCAACGATGATGCCGCCCTGGAAACGGAAAGCGAGCGTGGTAGTTCCGTGGGCAATCTTGATGGGGCAGTTGGGGTTTGATCGGTCATCGGTGGCAGCGCGAAGCCATGATGAGGGCTACAATGATACAATCAGTATGATATTCAAGCAGCGAAGTCATGCCCTGGGGCACGAACCTGAGCAACGGGAGGCATGGCAAACTTGAGCGAGAGATCACCCATAGAATTCAGCAGCTCATCCTGGTCCTCAAAGGGCTCATTCTGCTCATATGCCGGTCGGCTGTATTTCGAAACAAGAGAATCCATCTTGACTTTGTTAAAGGAGAAGTAGTAGGAAGTTTATCGGCTTGTAATCCTTCGTCCTAGAGCTGTATGCCTCGAATCCTAGCTTCGGTTACGTCCAAAAGTGGGAGAGAAGCCTTTTCTCTGGTCGTAAGGGAATGAGGCTACCAAGTCGTGATGTCTTCGTTATATCGTGATCGAGATTGGTGTTGTTGACGTTGACGTACGTGGATGATGATGGATGCTGTGAGGGCGGAAGCGGAAGTGGGAATTGAAGCTCCAGACAAGGAAGCTGAGGCTCAGGCAGCTTCCGTTGCGCGCGTCAACTGAATGCCACCTCCAACTTTGGTACGTACCTTTTCCTGTGACGCTAGGTACCTAGTAGGTTGTGAATCGTGGCTGCTTGTGAGTGCCTGAATTTCAAGGCATCAGTACTCTGCTACGAGTACCCATCTTGGGACTTGACACTTCCAAAGACCTGAATAGGATGTCACATATTTCATTCAAGAAGAAGTATTTTTTTTTGTTCATTGATCGCTTCATAGTCTCGAACTAAGTTTCCCGGGTTCCTCAATTCCTTGCCCTTGCATCCAATTTACGCCAAAGAAAACCACCAACCAAGGGATATCACTCTCACTCACTCTCACTGATTCACTGACATAAACATCCATGATACCAATTTATGCCTTGCGCCTCTTAGCAGAAGCTTCCTCCTCGATTCGTGAAAGAACCCATTGGCCCCTTTCTTCAATGCTGGCCCAGATATTACCTAAGATTTGCATCCGAATCAAACAAAAGAAAAAGAAAGAAAAAGAAACAAGCACTTGAAAGGAAAGATCAAGTACAACGTCTCAACTACTTCAAGACTCATGTGAAATGAAACACCCCATCATAACCCAGCCACTGGACCGTTCCCGCTCAAGGGTTTGGTGTCACCTCCCGACTGGTTCGCCCGTCCCGCTTGCTCATGAAGCTTCGGCGAAGATGGGCTTTGGGACTGTCGGGAACCAGGTTAGACTCTGTTGGTTGGAAACTGCTCTTTAGTGTCACGGTTCCACTGCCAACTGTGAGCTCCTTGGCGGCAGATGAGCCTGACTCGTCCACAAAGTAAACGTGCTCGCCCAGATCATCATCACTGCTGAAAGTGTGCTGTCCCTTCGCTTCAATCTTGAACTGTGCGTCAGGCGAGCACGGAAATTTGAATGTATCGCCGAAAGTCCATTGACCATTTGTGGACTTGAAGTGCTTGGTCTTGCCCACCGTCTTTTCCTTGGGGTTGATCTGCGTGATGACGATATACAGATCTGATGCAGGAGGAAAACCTGCTGCTTCGACTACAGTAAAGGAAGCAGTGCCTCCTGGTGCAGCTCCAGGGTTAGCGCTATGGACTGATGACTGTCCGATGCTCTTTGCCCGAACATGGCCGTTGCTTGTAGAAGGCCGAGTTCCAGGTGATGTGCCCTCTTCGTTGATGGCAGGTGACCGCCGGAGACCACCATTGGTGCTTGCGGTACCATTAGAGCTCAAGCCTTGAGGTTCAAACGCCTCGCCATCTTCTTCAATGATGTCCCCATTGTCCTTTTTGTTAAAGATGCCACGGCGGAGGAACGAAGCTCCCCTACCAACACCGTGACCAACAACTCCTGCAACTGCAACACCACCCTTGAGAGGCGCTCCGGCAACACCAGTGACGATACGCCCAGGGGCAGACGAGAAAGTGTTGCCAAAGGTAGATGTGCCCTGCCGTGATCGCTGAACGTAGCTGGGTCGGAACAGGAGTCGGATGCGAACGCTTCCCGACTTGCCATCAAGGATGTACTTGGTCTCCGATGGCTTGAAAGGATCCAGAGATTCGAGATTGATATCGGCAGCACCCAAGAAGTCAGGTTTGTCTGCAAAGTCGTAATCCCACACAGAGAGCTTGAATTGTGCAGCAGTTCTCGAGGGTACATTGACCTCAAAGTATTCATTCCATGTGGGATTCAGTGTCTTCTTTATCACCTTGGTCTTGTGGATCTCCTGGCCGTTGAGCTCGAACTTACAGTAAGGATCACTCTTGCCATTGCGATCAGCTGAGGGAAGGTCAGTAGCATCGAGAACATCAACGCGTAGTGTACCCATGTTATTGATACTCTCGCTCGGGTCAAGTTGCATCTTAACCGGGATGTACTTCAGGCTGACTTTTACACTCGCGGGGCGCCCATCCTCGCTCTTGAGTTTCAGAGTCGTCGGGTTGTTCTAGACAGGCTAATTAGTTTTCATGCCTACACAACGAGATTCGAAATCAGTCTTACCAGGCATTGCTTCAGGGTTTCCAGGGTGTTGCCAGCGAGCGAGGCCATGAGGTCATCCTGGTCATCACCCTTCTTGCGAGCCCGAAGTGTGAGCCGGGAGAAATCAAGCTCACGAATAAAGCAATCTCCAATCTCTTCAAACTTGTGGTGCTTGCTACGAGCAGTTGAAGAGACGTAGGATGGGTATGCCATATCGTCTACAAGAACCTCCAGCAGTCCATTGCTTTCCGGCATCTCTGCCTCCATGAGTCTGAAGATGAGCAGGCCACTCTCGTACTTGAGAAGCTCCTCGGGAGACAATCGGACTTTACGTGGACCCTTGGGCGCTTCGATCGAGGGGCGCCCAACAGTTGTGGGTGTAGGCGGCTCCAGTTGGTTCTCCTTTGGCTTGTCCAGGCTGGCATTGAACTTGCCGGCTTCGCTGGATCGCTGCGGGGTAGGTGATTGTTCTTCACTGGAGGAGGAATCCTTGTCCTTCTCTGCTTCCTTCTCCTTTTCTTTCTCTTTCTCCTCTTCATCTTCCTCCTCAGGATCAGCAACATTGAGACAGGGGTAAAAGGCAACAGTGTAATGCAGAACTCCTTTGGCGATACCCTTGCCATGCAGACGCAGGCCATCCTCACGAAGCTGTTTCTTGTCGTGGACGAGGTACTCCCCAATCTCGTCCTGTGCAACATAGTCGGCGGCGAAGACTTCGACCATTCCCAGACTACGATCCTTGCCAACCTTTTCTGTATCCATTACTTCCAAAGCAAGTCTGTCGCGAGCAGAATGGATGGGCACGTAAAGTACCTCGTCCCATTCAGGATTGAGATCGTTGCGGAAGGTGACAGTTCGTGCTTTTTCAATACCAGAGAGCAGAATTCGAGTGTAGGGATCTGATTTACCAAAGGCCTCAAAGTTTCGTAGATCAGTAGCCTTCTTGAAATGGAGACGCATCACCCCGATGGGGGTGACATAGCCACCAGTGCTGGCCACGCCAGAGATAGCGACTGGTCTCCACTGTGCCATCATCTTGACACGACCAGTTTGAGCACCATGCAGGTTGTACCATTCTTTGCCTTGTTCCATACATTCAAGCATCTCATCGAGCTTGATCTGATACTTTCCAAGGACTTGGTCTCCAGCAAGATCACGGTCATCCTTGATTGTAAGACCAAGCTTGGCCTTCTTCCGGTCCGTGATCAGAATCTCCTTAGAACCATTGTCCCAGATAGGGTTATTGGTACGCTTCAACTTCTTGGTTTGGTGGACTTCTTTACCATTCAAGAACATAACCGCGTAAGGGTTGAGAGACCCTACAAGACTCTTGGTACCATCCAGATCCTTGGCTTGTTCCACAGTAAATCGAAGGATACCTTGGTTTGATGGAGGTGGAGGTTCGTCTTGTCCCTCAGCGTTCTTGACGGTTTCAAGGACAGGAAAGAAGCGAATATCACACGAAACAACACCTCTGGCCTTGCCATCAGAGATGACCTCCAATCGCTGATTTTCATGAACATTGAGCTCCTCGACACTTTCCAGAGGGAAAGAAGCGATACCCAGTTCTTTTGACTTGCGGAAATCATTGTGATCGAAGATTTGCATATCCAGTGAGTCGTTGAAAGAGGTAACAATGATGTAGTGGGTCTCGTTCCACCTGGGGTTGGAATTGTCATGAACAACTTTGGTTCGGGCAAGCTCCTGGCGTCGGTTCAGGCTCAAGCAGACGTAAGGATCAACAGTTCCACCAAAGTTGTCGGTATTCTTCAGGCCCTGCGCACCATGAAGAGTCACTGCCACGACACCGATGGCCTGGTCAACGGGAGAACCAGCCAGCATCTTCGCGACCTCAATAGGGAAGACCTTGGGCGCGTACATCATTGGGGCCAAATTGCCATGAATCTGCTCAAGGATGAATTTCTCGAGGCCAGGAATGAAGTTGATATCGAAACCGAAGTTATCACCACCGAGGGGCTTGCAAACGTAGTCGATTGCTGGTCGCTCCAGGAAGCACATTTCAACACGGTCGATGTGGGGGAAAGGGATTTGCAGCTTGATCTTGAGGCGCATGATACCAGAGAAAGCCATATCCTCGACAATGACGTCGAGACCCTTACTGATCATGGCCTTGCCAATGCGGATCTCGAGGACAACCTTTGGGTTGATCTTGCTTGAAAGCTGGCGCGAAGTCATATCGGCGGTATCGTTGGGAGTGAAGCTGAACTTCCAGTCCATCATAACAATGTCATCCTCGGTCTTGGGGTAAGTTTTGACGTGCTCCATACGAGGAGGCTTGCTGCCTAGAGTAAAGGTCTTGAGCTTGAGACTGTCTAGGAATGACGGAGTAGCAGAACTCAGAACTTGATCGACAGAGTTGATGATGGTCTGAGCAAGAACAGGCTGATAAATAGGCCAGAATTTGACCATAAATGAATTGATCCATTCGAGGGACTCGTTATCGTTCTCGAGCTTTCTAAGAGCCATCTCGCGGGTTATGTCGTCTCGGAAGTTACGTCGCACTCGTCGCAGGGACGTTCGGTAGTAGGTCGAGCAAAAGGCCATAATGATGATGATCCAGCCAAGGCCGCCGCCAAAGACAGCTACAAGCCAGGAGGAGATGCATGCAAAGATGATTACGCCCGTGTTGTGGTACCAATCTGCCTTTGTTAGTGACCTGTATGCGCATATGGTTGGATTGAGACATACCACCATAGAGAGTATCCGGAAGCTGCCCCTCCACCCATGTCGCGTGATCGAGGAGACTCTCCTGTTCGGTGGCATCGTCAATTGGCCATCCTAATCGAGGAGCCCATCCTGTTCGCGAGAAGGGGGCTTCTTCGGCTTTAGGATCAGTGCCATCCGCGAGCGGCTTGCCCTGCTCGTCGCGGGCTACGTCCAAGGCTCCTTCTTTGCTAGGTTCTGGCAGATCTTCGACAGGACCGGTGCCATCATCGACGTCGGTGATAATTGCGGCGCCCTTGGGTCTTCTACTGTGCTGAAGCTCAGGTGGGATGGCCTGCGCATGGTTCGCGTTAGCTGTAGGTCGCGAGTTCAAGAGGAGAGGGGCATACGGCATTGGCTTGAGCTTTCTTCTGCTCTGGACTCGCATCAGGATCGAATGTGAAAGCAGCGACACCAGCATTCCTGGAGGACTCTACAATCTTTTTTTGGGCATCGTCTGCAGTGACATTGGTTTGAGGGTCTACAGCAGCCTCGACGAGACCCTGCTGCTTCAGCTCATCAGCTTCCTTTGCGGTAGACATGACGTTGTGTCGTGCAGCGTTGCTGCGGTTGCTGCTGGAACGTGCTTGTACGAGGGGTCTGTTTTAGGTGGTTCGTAGTCGTCAATTGGCGTATTTTAAGCTCTAAGCACCGTCGCGAAGCATTCAAACTATAAGGTCGATTCCGAACGACCGTCGTAATGGCGTTGGCCGATTCACTTGGTGGTGAGGATGCGAAGCCCTTGTAGCTGAAAGCCTGGTAGCTGGTAGCTCGGACACAGACTACCTTAGAGCTGAGCTGAGCTAGGTTGCCTCTAGGTTGATTACGTGCCTAGCTGGAGCTGGAGACACCAGCTTGTTTGAGACGGCAGAGGGAGGGGTTGTCTGGAAAACGAAAGGAAATCGAGAAGGGAAGTCGAGAAAAAAAAGGGAACAGTTGAAATAAGAGAGGGAAACCTGGAAAGGAAGGATCGGGTGTAAGAAACCAAGCCAAGGGATTGGAAGGTGGAAGAAATCCTGGCAGAAGATGACAAGAAGAGACAAGACACGGAAGACCAAGATTTGGGCCTGGGCTGTTCCAGTGGTGCAACCTGCAGACACAATTGCAGGTAGAGTGGCTTCTTCCAAGCTTGTGGTGATCGTCGAAGCAAAGTGAACTGATAAAGGGTACCAAGCCAGTACTCGGCAACACGCACATGGCTGTATATTTAGCAATGTCATTTTAAAGTTACTCTCGCTAGTGGGAGGGAGCTAATTTGTGGCTCAATAAGGGAAATTGAAGCAGCCGAGAGAGTTCGATCATTATCAGCAGAAGCGGAGTCAATATCTGTAGACAGCTGGAACCAGGCTAGAGGCTGGAAGCTAAAGCCAGTGATCAGATACAGTGGAGTTGGAGGGTGCCTGAGCTTCAATAGAGAGGGTGTTGATTGCGGGCCGAGCGAGCGGCAGAGTATCAATGATGGATGATCAGCATTCACTGACTGTAAAAAGTATCATGGCACTGTGAAACAACATTCTGTCGTCCATCACCAACTAGACTAACAGGTAATTGACCACTTATCTTGTTCGTGTAGTTATCCTTTCATCCGTAACACAGGTGGAGCTTATATAGCTAATGAATTCTGCCTGTGACTCTTTCTCAGCTACAGTGCCTCCAGAGACACAACCGCTTTGAGACGAGTACTGCAACAATGAGGCAACATCTGTAAAAGTTATTTATCAGTGAATACTCCGTACCGAGAAACATACAGTTCTCACAAGTCACCCCATCCCAAGAAGTAAATAAATCCCCTCTCAGGCTCTCTCAAGTCTCCCTGGATCCTCCCTCCCCTGCCAATCACCAACTCCCTGGCTAGATATCCCTGCCGCGCTGAGCAACTGGACACGACCTACGTAATTGATGGTCCGGGGGAGCTCAATTTTGCTTGTGACGGAAGCATTCAGTGGGCCGGGACCCTCGACGACAAGGATCCTGGGGTTTCCAAGATCGGGCAGAGGAGTCTTTTCTGTATTTGGTTTGGTGTAGGTCCCTGGAATCCCTGCTTCGTTTGTTGCTAGCACGGCTGAAGTTGGAGATTACGTAGCTCAGAATCTCCAGCTGGTGTTTTTGTTTTTGACTTTATTTTTGATGAGACGTGGATTCGTGGCTCCTGTTATGATGGTTTCTCTTTTGTTCCATAACATAATATGTAGCCACATGAAACCATCTGCTGGCACAACTCGATACCAGAAACGCAATTGCGACCTGGCTGGTTCATCTTAACGAAGCCGTTTCCTTGCTGTGCAATCTCGCCTCTATGTCTGTCATACGGGGAGGTAGTGCATCGCGTGTTCGTTGTGAATCATGGTAGGGAAATGCTGTACGGAGTACCTACACAAAAACAGCCCGTCCTCTGCAACAACTCACACTGTTTTGGCCTCGCTGAGTTCCACTTCCTGTCACCTTGCATTCGAAGCCTTCCTTTCTCCCTCACCTGCAGCTGCATCTGCACAGCCACTCTGCTTGACCTGAACGCTAGCTAGGTTCACACTACTGTGACCCAGAACAGGGGATCCCAATAGATTGCCGTGCTTTCGCCATCAACATTGTTATTGGGCCGGATACCCTAGTCTCGTGTCTTTCGATACATCTTCCCAGTTTCGGTTGTCTGTGAACTTGGGTGACCGTCTTCGCTCATGGATACAAAGAGTTAATAATGCCACTCTTGGATAAATCCAAATGAGCCGCTTTGGAGGCTGAAGGTGAAACGTAGAGCAATGCATTTTGTTTGCTGGTTGAGATTAACTTATCTTTTGGTGGATAGGTAAGGTACCTAGGTAAAGTAGATACAAGGCGGCCCTAAGATATTCCCTTCATTGAGCAGAAATCAACAATCGCCAGACAATCCGAAATGCATATTGAATCGTCTGAGCAAACCAAGGAATGTACCTTCCGCTACACATATAAATCCCAATAGTCATTGCATTGTGATCTTCTTCAGGAGCAGTTTTTGTCGCCTTTCATGAATATGGAGATGTCATCAAAATTATAGTACGAGTCAACATAATGCGCCTGTTGCTCTCAGCCTGGAGTCGACAGCCAACAGTGAGTATCAGTTATACTTGCTTCAGAGAAACTCATGCTAACGACCCGGTAAAAGTCATATTATACTCGCCAAATCAGCTCATCTCGTTTCTTTACCACAAATCACAGTTGGCTCCAGTCTGTGGGCACAAAACCAGCATTTAATCCATCTTCTCAGCAACTGAAGATCGCAAAACTCTGTGCTGATCAGAATGTCGTGGTATCAGCAAGAACTGGATCGGGCAAAACTGCCACCATAGAAGCTATAGCGGCTGCCCACCCTGACAAAAGGATTGGCAGCATCCTCTTCTCAAAGAGACTTCAGAGTGAAACATCTCGTCGTCTCAACAAGTATCGCAATAGCGACGTATACACTTTTCATGGCATGGCGGGTGTCCTCCTTGGAAGAGTCGTTCCGAGCGACGAAGCACTCATCAAGCTCTTGGAGAACATTGATAAGTGCGGCAAACTTCCACGATGGTCCTCGACACCTTTCGACATTATTGTACTGGACGAGTTTCAGGACTGTAATCCGGAAACCTTCTGGCTAGTCGAGTGCTTTGTCCGAGCCAATGACCTCAGGAAAGGAGGCCAACCTGCGCGCATAGTCGTCCTCGGCGACGAGCGCCAATCGATATACCGCTTTCGCGGTGCTGACCCTCGCTATCTGACTCTGGCTCCTGAGGTGCTGGGTCCAATCAGCCCCCTATCCGTTTACAGAGGTTCAGTTAGGCAACAGTTTCAGGCTGTCCTCATCGACTGTCCAGTTCATTAACCGTGTCTTCCTCGGCGGAGAGCAGTATATCTCCAGCTCGAAGCGTGGTCCAAAGCCCATTGTCCTGAGATGCAACCTTTGGGACAGTTTGGCATTGGCTAGAGCGATTTTCCCTCTGGTAAAACGTTACAAGCCTGAGAACTGCGTGATAATAGCACCCTCCACCCGTACGAGAGGACCGTTGCCAGAACTTACAAATGCATTGGCTCAGGTCTATAATTTGCCGATAGCTGTGCCGACTGACGACGAAACAGCTCTCAACGACCAGGTGATCAACGGAAAATTGTGCATCTCTACGATACATCAGTTCAAGGGTCGAGAGCGTAAACTTGTCATTCTTCTTGGCATCGATGCCTCCTATTTCGAGTTCTTCGGCCGCGATTTGCCAGATGACAGCTGTCCCAACGAAGCTTTTGTGGCTCTAACGCGCTCTCTGGAACAACTCGTATTGGTCCACAACGACAAGAGTAAGATGATGCCTTGTGTATCCCTCGATTCTCTGTACGACACCGCCAAGATAGTCAATTTGACAAAGAGACGAACAAATATTCCGCCACCCGATTTACCTGGGCGCCCTCTGGAGTTGGGACTTATGCTTCCAAGATCTTGTGGAGCCCGTGAAATAACGCGGTATGTCCAGGGCGATGCTCTTGATAAAGCTGTCGAGCGCCATCTTCATGTAGACAGACTAGCGCCTTCTCTCCCTCGCCATGAGCACATCAATATACGGAATGTGGTGCCCTCGAATCTAGAAAAGGGGTTCTATGAGTCTGTTAGCGACATCAATGGCCTTGTTATTGCCGCAGCTCTGGAACTAGAAACAGCTGGAACATTGAGGTCACTGGGACTACTAAGCAAAGAAGAGCTTGATAAAACCTTACCAAAATGCCCTGAGAAGCTTGTCCCTTGGCTTTGCCGGAAAGCTTGCGAATATGAGGGCAGTCTCTCTGGCTATCTACCGCGCGTAATTCAGATGAAAGACCACAAGTATGACTGGATTAAGCCTGAAGATCTCAGCCTTGCTCGGCGTCGACTTGATAGTGAGCTGGCGGATTCTGCCCAAAAGCTGGATTTTGAAGTTGAGATGCAGCAGCAATTCTATATCGATGACCAAGAAACTCAACTCTGTAGTCGAGCAGATATTGTGCACAATTCTGCAACCGAGAGTAATGATGACATGGATAATCGAACGATATGGGAGATCAAGTTCGTCTCAAGCCTTTCCAACGAACACATCATACAGGCTTGCGTTTATGCCTGTTTGCCAGGCTCAGATTCTGGAAAGATACCACGCATCATGCTATACAATGTGCGAGATGGGGACAAACGCCAGATCACACCACGTAATGGAAGAGAGGGGTTGAGACAACTGATCACAAGTGTCCTTAGACTTAGATATACGTCTAAAGGAGAGATGACATACGAAGAATTTATCAAACGGTGTGGCCAGACAACGCGGAAAGTGATAAATCTCAATGATGGGTCATAGTGAAAGTCTAGAAGTGAAACGTGATCACCAGACTTGGGGGAAAGGTGAGGCTCACTGAGATGCCTCATAATAGATATTACAGCACATCGCAATTTCACGATTCCCATCAAAGGGGCATAATTTCTGTATGAAGACTCTGTAGACTATATCCCGAACACAGTTTCAGAGAAACCATTCGGGTTATTGGCTAGGGGGGCTTGCCAAGCAGAGCGCTGAAAGTGTGGTTATTAGATCTCTCTTTCACTATAGCATTACGGCATCAAGAGTCTTCGTAAATTCAAGCTATTGCATGATCGTAAGGAGTGAACTCTCCTTGCTCCATCACAGACGAACACGACTTGTGTTAATGGAACCATAAGACTATCAGTGCCTTGATTTACTTACAGATATAACCCGTCACTTCCAAGCTTTTGACCGTGATGTAATCTTTGAGTTTGATATAGGTAAGGATACTGAGTTAAATAGCATCGACTCATGCAACCCAACACAGTGACGAGAACAAGGAATCGTCTTGAAAAGCAGGTTATTGACAAAATGGTTTACTTCCGAGTGCATTCCGAGTGCATTTCTGTATTCTTTATCACATCGTATTGAAACATCCAATACTTCCTGCGCTGCTACATGACGCATATTCAACTTTAAACGCTGCAATAAACGAAGGCAGAGTGGCTAGTGCTCAACCAAATCTAAGACATAAGAAAATGCTGAAAAGTGGCCAGTCCCATATCCGTTACGCCATTCTCATATGCAATAGAAACGCCTTCTCTCTTAATAACCCAAGCCATGCTGGTGAACTGGACATCGTCCGGGATGTTTACGGAACCAAGACGAGATGCAGTGCTTATGAAATCTGCACAGACACTCCAGGCGTGCCATTTGATCTCCGACAGTAAATTCTTCGAGACAAATGGTGCACTCTGCATCGTCGATGCAATCCTTCTCCGTTGCGGAATAACAATACATGCCTGTTAAACGGGGTACAGCTGGCGCTCCGCCATCCTCACCACCGCCCAACGTTCCATACGCGCTGTGTGTCTGGATGCACTTCGTGATGTGAGACTGACGAAGTTCTTCAGCGTTTGGTAAGCTCTGGGACGGCAGTTCGCGATGACAAACAGGACATTCATCTTCCTCGGCAATCTGTGGCGTGGGTGGAAGTGCCCGTTGCCTTGTCGATGATTCTCCCAGTGAGCTATAGCGTTCTGGATATGAAGATGGGGAAGCAGCCGTGCCGCTTGCCTGGAGTCGCTCAAAACGCGACTGGTGGGCTCCGCTACGTCTTCTGTATGAAGGACCAGGAGAGGAACCAGATGACGCCGAGCCCTAGTAATACGTCAGTCTCTGGAAGAATTCAATAAGAGAGAGGCAAAGTACCATTGTGACACTCCTTGTCCTGAGAGAGAGATATCTGTATGGGTCGCCACCGGTGCCGGGCGCGAAAACTGCGCCATGTCGATGAGACGGCTGCAGTGTCCCATAGGCATTGCCGATACTGCTTCGTGACCTCTGGTGAGAAGCTCGCGGCGAAAGAGTTGCTTGTGGACTCGGGCTTTGCGGGGGCGCTGTATTCGGATCTGGTACGCAAGGGTTGCAAAGCCTCACCCGTTCGCCTCCTGACATGTCATTCACATCAAAATATCCAGCTCCCAGTCCGTCAACGAGCAGTGATTGATGAATGGCTGCCTCGGAGCCAGGCTGCCGTACAATATATTGGTGGGGGATGATGATCCTGTGCGGTGAGCAGGCGTTGCAAACGACTCTTCCGCATTTCCTGATCCGCTTAGCATATATAATCAAATGTTGTCTGGATATGTCTCAACCTACCTGCAATGATGTTTTCGAATGAAGAAACTAAACTGCGTATGGCAGATAGGGCAATATGTGACCTCATTATCCGGCTGCCATCTTGGACGTTGTTGGTCTGAAGATATTGACTGGCGAGCAGAGCGCGGAAGTGGTGGGAGTGCCTCTTCCAACGGTCTTGGGGATGGCAATGGCGCATCCATTCTCTCTCGGGATGGAGTTGTGTGTGCTCGTTGAGCCCCCTGTGAATTTGGTGCGTTTGTGCCTTGACTGGACCTAGCTCTCTGATCTGGGTGATCGGTGACAACACTTTGAGAATCAGGTTGCTCGAACCGCGCGTCACGAGAATAGCTCCTAGGGTATGTCGATAGTGAAGTCTGTGGTGTATCTGACGAAGAGTGACCCGATTCCCGGGTAACTGCGGGGGTTAAAAGAGCTTGGTTCGATGTAGGATCGCTTGTAGTAGAGGAAGCATCTCTGTCAACGTTCGTATCGTTCGAGTCTGGGGTTGGTGCATTATTTCTGGTGATCCCAACTTGCGCAAGCTCTTGGTTCGAGAAGCGAATAGTTTGTGCTTCAGGCTGATCTCGATCGATATTGGTGTGAGAGTGATGTGAGCTATGGGTGGATTCTTGATCTCTAGAACCACTCTCCGATAGACTCCGCTCGATGGTGTGGGATGGACAGTCGAAGTATCGCGAGCATTCTTGGTGATGGAAGCGGCGATTCCGCCAGGGACATATTGGATCTTGTTCGTTATCTTGGTGTTGATATTGGTCTGGGTCTTGGCCGTTCTGATCGATTTCACGTTGACCGTCATCGCTATACAACGAATGTGAGCTCGGAGAACTACTCGACACAAGAGCACTGTAGTCTCTGGCAGCCTCAGAGGCGAACTGGCCTGAAGCACCCGAAGGGCTGGCCATGGCAGCTCATTAAGACTCGATTGCTAACGAGGGGGGTGATTGGAAATGTGCAGCCCTCGTCTAACACAACATGAGTTGATGATTTCGGTTGAGAGGGTCGGCCCCGAGTTTTGATTTGTGGGAGCGTGCAGGTAAAAGAAGATATCCTGAGTTCGAATGCGGTGTTTGTCGGCGGTGGTATTCCTTGAACCTATATCAGATGCGATTAAAAACTGGTTGGTTCAAGGCTAACTCGCATGATGCATGATAGATAGCTCAGTGATAGCCAGGATAGTAAGTTGGTACCGAGTCAGGTTTCGGAGATGTAGCGAGTTGCACGTACCTTTGAGGCGATAAGGAGATGATGCGAAGATGATGTAGAGTCGTACTGAAGACAAGCAACCTTTTAGAAGTGATTCGAACCAAGTCGTGCCGAATTATTTGTTGATTGGAGAGTAAGTTATTGGAAAGTTTAGTTGGTCCAAAGGGTTAGACTTGGGCTTCCACGGCTCCGCTAGGACTGGGCTGCGGCAGGCCCGTCTCATCTGAGGGGCTGCCCGCTCCGAAGAAGTGGAGCTGGGGGGATCATTCGGCCACGCGATCACCCTTGCATCACCTATCAAACTGGACGGGACCTCTAACCTAGCCTTATTAGCCCCTGGAGTTTAACGTGCGGCGTAGAGAGATCCTGTTATTATTCAAGTTCGTGCTATTTCAGCTGGCCTTAAACTACTTAACACTTCAATATAAGACAAATTAGTCGTATATTGTACTATCTTGGCAAATATCTTACACTCACCACTTGATAGTTAACATTATCTGACCCCTTAAAGGTCGGAGAACGCCAAGTCAACAAGCATTTCCCTCTCTTTCTCACACACCGTAGCTCACTTGATCACTCACGCGCTAACTTAAAAAGCAACTTATCAGGTGGACACTTTATTGCCTGGCAGTCTGGGCAGATCTGGACCCTTATCGCTGTGACTTAATCAATATCGTCTTATGAACCTGGCATTGGTGATTAATTACCCCATACCTTAGTGTTGATGATCTCAAGATGTACCCCTTTACCTTCTATCTCCACTTGCTTTATCATCCTCGAAACTGAATCCATCAAGTCAAGTCTATTTTAGATGGACGGTCTCAACTCATCACCCAAGCTCCCCAGATCTTCCTCCAACTTAACCCCTTTCACTATCAGCTACTTACTCTCCTAAAGAACAAACACCATTTAAGCCCATTTCTCCTCATCTGTGTTGACCCATTGGTGCTTTGTCCCACGTTGGACGACTACATCACCTCGCTTCATCACACGACTCTCCCCCGAGTCGAGCACCAACTTCGTCTCACCCTCAATCACGATACCGTAGTCTATACTCAGTGTCCGATGCATGGCTGATCTGCCGGGTGGGAGGTCAACAAATCGGAGCACCGAACCGCCGGGGACAATAAGTCCTGGAGAGTTGGTGATGTAGTTCCCGTATGTCTCTATGTCTGTATTGTCTTCGAGATCAACTGGAAACCCTTGAATGACGTAACCGAGGTAGAAGACGTGTGCCGAGAGGACAGTCTCGGGTAACTCATCGTTGAATCGCGTGTCAAATATCGCGTTTCCATTGTCATTATGCCTAGTGATGAACCGTTTTGGTATGGGCAAGGTATTATCAGCCGCAACAGAAAACAAGGAGGATAAAAATGCGAAAAATGAGAAAACGGTATTAGTTACTTGATGGTTCATCGCAATATAAAGTTCAAAGGTTATTCTTGAGTTGAGCTCAAGGATGAGAGTGAGAAGATCTCCTTTCTATATACCTCGAGACAGCTCATTCCGAGGCCACTCTTCATCCAATACTCTGTCTTCGCCAAGCATCACCCATAACTCGTTTCTCGTAAATACGATTCGTCAATCAACCAATATGACGTTCTTGTGCTCCCTTGATCATCTGATCCAGCTTGGTCCAGCACGTCGAAGATGCAAGCCCTGGTGTTCGAGCAGTACACAGCCTGGTGAAACTTTAATCGCTATGTACCCTGGAACTGTTCGGGTCCCGGACGGATATTGCATTTATCTCGCGATGTTCATATGGGTATCAAGGACTCTCCCACCTTTAGATCTGGAAATGAAGGTATCTGTACGAGATTTGGAGGGCAAGTTCAGAGAAAGCATGTTGCTATCGAATTCTCTTTCTGGGCGATTCATTAACTCAGAAATATGATGCCTCTGCAGCTCGAAAGCATTTAAATATTGTCTTTGGTGCCACTGGGTCAACCAATTTTCCCAATTGCCTTTATCCATCACCCCAAAGTTATAGCGGTCTTTCAAAAGTTGTTGTGAACACAAGGTGTTGTTCTTCTCAATACGGGTTTTCATCCTCTATCTAAACTTACGCAGCCTTTCAAGGTGCAACACTGTAATTGTGTGCATACTTGGTGGTTGCTAATGCAGAGTTATGCCCCTGAGGTGGATATTTACCCCCAAAGGCTTCTCCCTTAAGCCTTCTATCTTATCAATACAGCTTAGATACTTTCTCACAAGAAAAACTTCCTGAACCGAGTGAATTTGGATCAAATATGTAAGAAACAGAGGCGACGATTGCGTCCAAAGTTGATGCATCATCTTGTGGGAATGGTTTTTCAGCCCCTTTTTGAGCACTCCTCTGAAAATCATGCTAAGGGAGAAACGACCCATCCGATTGTACTATCTTGGTGAATATAGCAGATGATTAACCGTCAGCTATGCCGTGTAACACTGAAACCTGGTTGTCAGCTAGTCGGTGAGAGTGAAGCCCACCGGGGTCGGTGCCCAACACGGAGAGTTTTCGTGTATTCAGACAATCATTGACTCAAGCTAATGCAATGCAATTCAATGAAAGAGATACATCATCCATAAAGCCTGCCAAGGAATCGTGAGAGCTTCCTGGTAGCTGCCAGTGTTCGAGTCTTTGGCACTTATGGATGAGAGATGCTGATAAACATCGCTTGCCATGGCTTGTTGTATTGAGTCAGTGGCCATGATAGAAATTAGGCGGTAAGTGTCGAGTTCCTGGCTTGTTTATGACTAGAAATGAAAGGTAAAGTTAGTCTTTTGCTCCCTTGCTCATCAAACCCTTTTGAACATAGTCGAACAAGCCCGCAAACTTAACCCAATTAGACTTATTCTCATGCATGAGTTTCTCAAAAGTTGTAGGATCGCCCGTTAACCAATTCCAAGTTCAGTTGATTGAGGCAAATTCTTACGAATAACCCCCTTGACGAATCGAAAGCTCACGACAGAAGCCCCCGTTATGCGATATGTTCTGCATCTCGATATCAGCGCCGTGATCGGAGCTTTCTCAGGGCATCTTTTATTCCATTGCTGTTAGTGCAGAATTTGACGATGTGTTTCAACTTGTGCTTGGCGTGATGTCAAACGTGCAACAGAACACATACCTGGTGGTCGAATAGCGGTGGTCACACAGACCTAAAGGGGCCGATGTTGAGTAAATAGGCCAATGAAAACAAGGCCAAACACTGATTTCATATCCTTTTCACCTCTAAATAGTCCAATGCAAGCATCATGAGACCTCTTTCTCAAGCAGGAGAGCGGCAAACGCCGCTACTGTCTGCATTACGTGGACTGATAAATGAGGCATTCGCGTCTTATTGGGGTTGATCTATTTTACACCAATAGAACCAGAGCAGTTGACGCCATCACACATTGACGGGCTTATGTGTATGCAGGTCCAGGACAGGATGAGAAGGCTCACGATACTAGGAACGGTCTTGGCACGGCTGAGTCGGCTTCAGGTGAATTGTTAGCGTTGGTGTTTCAGACGATGGCGAATCTTTTTTCAACCTCGCGATCAGATAAGGGTCTGTGTCTGATTGTCTAGTGCAGAATTAGACAAAGGAAGACGTACGCAGCTGGAACAAGACGTAATAGTTTCATGATGGCTCCCTTGAATATGGAGCAGAGTACGTATGCTCTCAATTTCTTAGCTAGTTGCGGAATATCCCATCCCCATACCAGACCCTGGCCAGTCGACATATGCTGACGACGACATCGGACGTAGCCCAAGTTTTGATATAGCAGCCCATGATAGCGTTTTAGAGCTTTGACTATCTGACGCGGTAGGCTGATTGACTCCGATACTGATGCCGGAGTTTGACCAGAAAAGGGATTAGACTTTTCAGCTTTGATCCTGCGGGCCCAATCATATCATGATGGCATTCCCCATCAAAAACGTTGAAGATTTACCTTTGACTTTTTAGCATCCATGACAAAGAAAAGTCGCTTGCCTTTGGTCTCTTGTTATTTCCTGACTCGGCTCCATGTCACTGATCCTTGCACCTTCTTTAAAGCTTTTTACACTCTTTAAATCCCACGGCCAATCATTTGTTTCCTGCTTCAAGTTCCTGCTAATTTATTATCCGTCACTAAATCCGCTACGTTAATTCCGCTTCCAGCCCTACAGCATTGATTGCTACCTACCTTACCTTGCCTTGCCTTACCTACTTGCACTTGCATATCTCAATTCCTCATATTGTACACTTTCTTCTTCTTTTTTTGTTCATTCTCACTCAATATATTGTTCATCAATGTCAAAATTGGCACCATTGCAGGCTTAGTAAAGCCTGCAACATATTCAAACGAGTTGCGCAATGGCTGGCCCTTCGCCCTCGTCCTCGAATCTCTCTCACAACATTGATCCTTCACATTCAGATTCAGCCTCAGTTTACCCTGCATCTCAATCATATCCTCCCCCGCCTGTGCCGGTGCCATCTTCAACAGATTCAGCTGGTGGCGCGTCTTCAATAGCTAAACCAGAGAAAGGGCTCGCACTTTACGCCTGTGGTCATTGTGGACGACGTTACTCAAGACCGGAGCATCTTCAGCGCCATGTTCAGACTCATACTTTGGGCCGTCGATTTGCCTGTTCGATTTGTGGAAAGACATTTGCGCGTGCTGATCTCAAGAAACGCCATGAGACTAACCATGAGAACGACGATACCAAGAAACGCAGGCGTACGACTTCTCTCAACACGGGTAGGGTTACCCATGCTTGCAAAGCTTGTGCCACCGCAAGGGTCAAGTGTCAAGAGGAAAAGCCTTGTCAACGATGTGTTCGTCGCGGCTTGACTTGCGTCTCGGGAGAGGCAAGCTCTGCCGCAGCCATGAACCTAGTTCACTTGTCCGCCAGTGCTCGTTCCAAAACACCTGTCGATGATGAACACGATAGTAGCAATGCGTCGGCAGAATACGCCCCCACCAGCTTTCCTAACCCGACTTCTTACCCTACCGACCAACCGCCACTGTATGGCCAGAATGCTCAGTTCCATGCGCATTCCCGGTCAGCAACCCCGAACACTGGGGATCTACCACCCAGCTCTGAGGCTGGATCTTCTAGCCAGGCCGGGACAGACCAGCTCCCCTTTTGCGACTTTCTTCGGGATGTGCTATACGAACAGCAATATGACCAGTCAGCCAGGATCCCAGAAAATCAAGGTCTCGCAGTATTAAATTTTTGTAATGACAGTAACATGGAACTATCAGACATGGATTTTGGGTTGCTAGATCACTGGAATACAGACGGGATGGCCAACCCGGCCCCAATACAGCAAGAGACGCCCCAAAGCCCTGTCGACATGGACCATATGCGGCAGAATCTTGTCACAGCCTGGGATGTGTCTCCATGGCGATGGGACCCGGTAGCAAAGGATAATGCCTTCGGCGAACAGGGAAATCTGCCAGTTTCAAAAAGAGATGTGGCTAGTATACAGGCTCAGACTTCAAAGGGGGGTCTCAGAAGGGTCGTTGACCAAAAACTTGATTTCGCCGCTCGCGATGGCGTGTTAGCACTAGTCCTGGGGGCCTGTCAACCTGATACAATGTCGAGCCGTATCTCAGGGTCTTTTCCTTCAGCAGATCTCTTGGATACCATGTTACATGTATTTCTCAACTCACACACCAACCAGGTCTCGGATTATATACATTTCCCGACATTCAAGCTAAATGAGCAAGAGCCAGAATGGATTGCGGGAGCGGCAGCTGCGGGTGCTGTGTTGACCCCTATACCGACTCTACGAAAATTCGGTTATGCTCTGCAGGAGTCTGTTCGTATGTATAACCAGATCAACAGTTATTTTTGTCTCTAACTTCTAAATAGGAATTGTTATGCCCAGACGGTTTGAGGAAAACAACGAAGAAATCCTCAACATAGGCCTTATTGAGGCTATTGTTCTTGGTCAAGACACCGGTCTTTGGAGCGGCAATCGACGCAAAATGGAAATTGCAGAGTGCCATGTCAACATCCCCGTGACGATGATGCGATACCGTGGCAAGTTCCAGAGGTCTTCATATCCAATGCTTTCAGTAACACCGGCGGATGAGGGTGCGAATCTCGAGCAAAAATGGCGGACATGGGTCGAGATGGAGAAGTGGAAACGGTAAGTATTTGTAACCTTCTGGTCTCCTTTATTAATTATGCATTATAAATGCTGACCAGATCAGTTTTGTTTTCCACCTTTTCCTTCGAGATAGTCAACAGTCTATGACAGCCCTGACGAACCCCGTTATGTCATACGCCGAACTCACCCTTCCTTTGCCTGCCTCTAAGGAACTGTGGTACGCAAAGACAGCAAAAGATTGGAAGGATGCATATTTGAGACGAGAGGCTGGACATATGAAGCGAGCTCCGTCAGTTGGTGATCTATTCCGCAATCTGAACCTCCTTTCAGAAAATCGACATCGTTTGGATGTACAACTTTCGGCGGCAATCTATCTCCAGGCCTTTTGGCTACTGATTCTCGAGTATAGAAATCTTTGCTCATCTTGCAGAACACGATCTTATACCCAAGGCACTTATGAAGGCTCCAGTTCATTGCTAGCTGCACGACGTCACCAACTGCTCCAGGACTTGCAGACTTTCAAAACCACAACCACGAACTGGCCAGAGATCACAGCACAAGAACGCCTATTGCTAAATCAGCTTATGATGGCATTGCATATATCTATGGACGACTTGCAGCTCTTCGCGGGAAAAGAAGGGGATGAACAGGCACATCGGACATTTCCTGTGCTTCAGCAATGGGTTGAAAGTGTAGACTCTCGGGCAGCTATATGGCACGCTGGCCAAGTTCTTCGATTTGCTAAGCTCTTTCCTTCAGCTCAACTGAAAAACTTCTACGCTGTGGGTGTACATCATGCGGCGCTAGCCCTGTGGACGTTTGGAGTGATAACAAAAGCTGGAAGCCAGCAAGATATGTCTTCTCAGCATGAGAAAGTGTACATCGACGGCCCAGAATCGATGAGTGTGCAGCAGTACATCACTATGGGACAAGGCGTGCCAGTCATTCGAGGACCGAACAAACGCAACGGAGCATCTGAGGCATCAGTTGAGAATCCCAAGACGACCATGGAGGCTGCTCATGATATACTCCTAGCCAACTTTGGAGGCGCAAACAAAATGGCTCCAGCGATTGTGGAAAACCTAAGCGTTTTGATACGACAGCTGGGAAATGTTGCTTGGGCAGTAGGGCTAGGTTAGGGGGTCTGGGATTGTCATGATGCGATGTGTATAACAATAGGATAAAAAGCTGTTGTATTTTCTTGGTCTGGGACCAAAATGAACTTGTTAATACCAACATAACTAGTACATTAGGCTCATGTGACCAAGATTCAGAAGGAAATAGGTAGATGAGGCTCAGCAGCAGCAAATGGATGTTAAGGCCCGACGCATGTTGGTGTGTTTTTAGGACTGGAAGGTCCAAATTAAAGCGGGTAGAGCATGTCGATCTCATGCCCTTGGAACTGGTTAAGGTATAAGTGTACATTCTTTCAGCGTCTTGATAGAGCTTCGTCGAGCACCATTCAATATAGTCAGCCTAGGCCATGGCCACTTCCACCTGTTAATCATAGATAAATCCACTTTGTAGAGTTCGTCGAACGAGGTAATATCCGTGGTTGTTAATTTGTGGTGGAATAGAAAGTCATGCCTTGATTCAGGTGCTAAGGCTAGAATTCGTCGCCGTTGGACAACTGGCTGAAGGGTACCCATCCATGGATAGTTGCGATAACTGACTGAATTGTCTAGAAGTGTAATATCTCGAAGGCATCATTTAGTATCTTGAAACGCTCACGCTCAGCTGAGTTTAAAGCAATCTCTCAACTATTCCATTGAATATAACAAAAGCATCCCTGCTGAGAAAGAGGTCCAAAACTATTGGATACTATGTATCCTAGTTACTTATTCACTTCATAGGTAATGATAGCAGGCCTTACTATTATTAAATTAAATAGGTTCATCATAGAGTAAATATGATAATAGAGGGAACGATCCGAGCTCTGGGGTATATATCCTTACTTCGGGTGGATATCTTTAACCTCCGGCTCAGCCGGTCCCGTCAGGGGCTAACTTGATACGTAGACAAGCTCTCAGCTCAAAGGCCCGTGTGGTGACGTTATCCCTCAAGCCTGCAAAGCTGGAGCCCTTATTTTTTATATATATTTGTTGTCCCTGTCGATCACGGCTCTTTTCGGCTGAACTCTCGTGCCTCTCTCAAAAAAGGTGAAACGAGTTATCACATGCTGGGCATTTCCGTTTTTATCACTGTGGCTGCCTCGTTGACTCAGACGTGCTACACATAATCAACCAATCTAACAAAGTGGCTGAACAAGTGTTCACCCTTTCTCTTTACAGCCCATCAGCTTCTACTCTTACTTTCTACTCTCAGCTCTTCTCACCGTTCAGTATTCTACAAATATGTCGTCGTCCCAGGATACATCAACGGCCCTCGTGGTCACAACGACAGTTTTCTCAACTATTGCCTTTCTCGCTATCGCCCGCTCATTTCTCTACCCTGTGCGCCCAAAAACCATTCGTAATCCGCTCAAGGCGGGCGTGTACGACAAGGCCAATGCTGATAAGTTGAAGAATCTTGTTTATCAACCTGATCAGTTTCCTGGCGCTCGAGATGTCGAAACTCCAGTAAGCCACCATCTCACGGCCTAACAAGCAGAACTATGTTGACCACGGACATAGTACGGAAGCATTCGTGTTTACGAGTTTGGCCCTGAGGACGGTGAAAAGGTCTTCTTTGTGCACGGCATCAGCACACCCTGCATCACCCTCGGGCCCATAGCTCTCGGGCTCGCCAAACGAGGCTATCGTGTGATGCTCTTTGTAAGCTTTTCACTACCCAGTTTCTTCAGTTTGACTAACATCTCTCGAGGATCTCTTTGGACGTGGTTTCTCCGACGGTGTCGCTGATATTCCCCACGATGCCCGTCTCTACGTCTCCCAAATGCTTCTCGTCCTGGCTTCCAGCCCTCTTGCATGGACCGGGACAAATGCCCTACGCCTTGTGGGCTATTCTCTGGGTGGCGGTATCGCGGTTCACTTTGCCAACGCGTTTCCGAACCTTGTGCGCGACCTTGTACTCCTCGCACCTGCAGGTCTAATCCGAGCCGCCTCCTTTGGCCGCGTCTCTCGATTCCTCTTCGTCTCTGGCCTCGTCCCGGAGCGCATTTTGGCCGTTGCTACGCGCAGCCGTCTTCAAAAACCTATTGCCGCTTCAGCTAAGCCACCTCCTAAGACGCCCATTGAGGCCATCACTACGCCACCACTCCATGTTGCCGAGGCAGAAGTGGTTCCAGCATCCGGTGAGGCCGTTACGCCGTTGGAGCAACGTGTTATGGAGTATGTGCGCTGGATGGTCACGCATCACCACGGTTTCGTCCCAGCCTTCATGTCGAGCATTCGCTTTGCACCCCTAACCGATCAGCATGACGCCTGGGCCAAGTTGTCCAAGCGTGCTCCTGGTACTACAGCTATTTTACTAGCTAGATCTGATGAGATCATTGATCCGGACTCCTATCGCCGGGATGCACTATCTCTCGTCGGAGGTGAGCATCATGTCCGCTGGCGAATCCTGCCAGGGAGCCACGATTTTGTTATGACTCATGCCGGAGATATCCTCAGCGAGATTGACGACATGTTCAATGCTACTAAGGCGTGATGATACTCATGTTTTGTCACATCACAATTTGATCTCTTCTACGACAGGCTTTCAGACATTTACAAACAGCGAGAGCAGGGAGTTGGGTTATCAGGAGTTTGTTATATTCATGCCCTTTGTGTTTCCGGTATAGAATATAGAGTAGAGAGCAAATGACATTCTGGATTCTATACCCGCCTCCATATATCCAGTGAAAGTTGGCGAGTACCAAGGTCCTCAACTGCACGGCCATTGGCAAATACAACCGTTATTAACGATCTAAGGCTTGACTTTGGCACTATATTCAATTAGCATACTCTGGCCATTTCAGTTACCGGTCAAGGATACTCACCATGTTCCAGTAGACGCCCCTCTTCTTTAATAACTCTGCATGATTTCCTTGTTCCAGCAGCTGACCGTCTCCCAATACAAAGATAACATCGGCATTCTGTACTGTGGCCAGTCGATGTGCTACTACGAGCATCGTGCGTCCTTCACTAGCTCTTTCGAATGCCGACTGGACTAACTTTTCGCTTTCCGAATCAAGGGAGCTCGTAGCTTCGTCAAGGAGGAGGACTTTGGGGTCGCGAATCAGAGCGCGAGCAATCGCCACGCGCTGCCTCTGACCACCTGAAAGTGATACACCACGTGATCCAATATTTGTATTGTAGCCCTCCGGCAATGAGACAATAAAATCGTGAATTGAGGCATCACGGCACGCTTGGTGTAGTTGCTCATCGGTGATTGCTGAGGGGTCGACTCCAAGTAGGATATTCTCCCTGATGGTGCCCTGGAAGAGGGTGGCTTCTTGGGCCACGAGAGAAAAGTATTTGCGGTATTCATACAGGTTGATATCTGTAGCATCCTTGCCATTTAGAAGGATTCGTCCCTTATCCAAGTCGTAAAATCTGTTTCTTCAGCCGCGATACGATACAATGGGATGTCTCAATGACTTACCTTTCCAATAATGAAATGATCGATGACTTTCCTGAGCCTGAGGCGCCTACGAGGCCAGCAAACTGTCCCTTCTCAATCTTCAGGCTCAGCCCTTTGAATACGGGCGTGCTCCTAGTCGGGTACTTGAAGGCGATGTTATCTAGCTCGATCGACATCCCACCATCTGTGTCTGGGATCTCTTGTGAGGTAGAGACCTTGTCTCGAGGCCTGCTCTCTCTCATGTTTAGAATACGATTCGCAGCTGCAGAAGCCATTGCGCTGTTTGGTCCAAAGCCAAGAGCTTGCCCGGCTGCCTCGCTTCCATTTGTAATCGCCACTGTGAGATGTCAGTAAGAGTCAGAAGCGTTTCGGACTCCATCTGCACTACTCATTAGAGGACATGATCATAAAGGTCACTTACTGAAACATACGAAGAAGGCAACCAGACCAATTTCATGTCTTGATAAAAGACGACCTCCCCACCAGAAGTTCAGAGCTTGACATGCCATACTGGCACTATCAGAGAAGCCAAAGAGTATACTCACCCATCTAGCTTTTCTGTATGCCGATACAACGTGTTCGTTGAGTAAATTCTGATATCTGAGGCAAATCGAATCCTCTAGTGTCAGCGAAGTGACAGTCCTAAATGCTCCTATTGACTCCGATGCAAACTTTGAGCTCTCTGCAAAGACATCATTGTTCATCTTCTCGAATGCCAGCTCGTATTTGAAGCGCCAGTACGCCGAAACGATCATGATGGGCAATACGACGCAGCATGAGACTAGAGCCAGTTTCCACGCGAACGCGAACGCAATGGATATTGCTCCAACCACATTAAAGAGGGCGACAAAGACACTGGCCATGTTCAGTCCCATCAACTCCTCAAGTTGCTTGGGGTCCTGGCCAAGTCGCGACGTTACCGTTCCATGAGAGTGGTCTTCATGGTCAAAAAAGGATGTTTTCTGAAACATTACCGCATCAAAATACTGCTTCTGGTATTTCACGCGTATCGTGGATGACATCCGAGTAGCCACGAAGACAACGACAAAGTAGCTTATTCCGATTCCTGAAGCCAGGGCGACGAACATGAGGGACCAGAAGTTGCTCCCGGATAGGTTCGAGTCAGTCCCTATGTCGTTGAAGGAAACAATAATTTTGCCAAAGATCCATGCCTGTAATGGTACTCCAGCTCCCACACAGGCACCAGCAAATAAGGTCAGAAAGAATGCTGGCCAAACATTCTTCGACTCGTAGAACAGTCGACCAAAGCTTGTAAAGAAGTTCCGCACCTTTTCTTTAGAAGCCTCCGTAGACATGTCAACCTCGGAAGCTGCAATACTCGTGACGTTGGCTAGGGTGGGCTTGTCCTCAGTTTCAACAGACTCATATCCTGCCTCTGTAGGTTCTCCAAGCGATAGAGACTGTGCATGCACGAGGCCTGAGTAGACTCCGCCCTCGATCGTCATGAGACTGTCATGTGTACCTGATTCGGCGACTTTTCCTTTCTTCAAGACGATGATGCGATCTGCTTTCTTGATGGTCGATAGTCGATGGGCTATTGTGATAGTGGTTCGGTCTTTGGCAGCTCTGTCAAGGGCCGCTTGAACAATCCTTTCACCACGAACATCGATAGCACTAGTGGCCTCGTCCAAAATGAGAATACTTGGTTTTCGTACGATAGATCGCGCAATAGCCAGCCTCTGTCTCTGCCCACCGGAGAGTTTGGCACCACTATCACCAACGAGTGTGTCCAGCCCCTTTGCATATATTAGCCTGGACGGGTTTTCGCCAAGTTTTGGTCACAACTTACATCTGGCAGTCGATCAATGAACTCATCGGCGAATGATTCTCGACAAGCCTCCTTAACCAACTCTCTCTTCTTTTCCTCGGTCTCGTTTTCCCAAGGAGTTCCAATCAACCCATAGACAACATTCTTATAAATCGTGTCGTTAAACAGGAATGGCTCCTGTGAGACGAGGCCTATTTGGGACCTCCACCACTTCAAATCGATGTCGTCCAGCAATTGACCTGCAGTCAAGATTCGCCCACGGACTTCAATAGGAGGTCCTGATTCTTCAGGCTCATTATCAGCCAAGTTTTCTGTGTCGACATCATCATCACTCTCATCTTTCTTGTTCTTCCGGCCCCCTTTTTTCTCTTTCTCAATGACCTTGGCCAGAACGTGTTGATCCTGTAAGGTATACCATCTCTGGATGAGCCCAACAATGGTTGATTTGCCTCCTCCAGACGGGCCGACAATCGCATTGATTTTTCCAGACTCTATACACAAGTCCAGGCCATCTAGTACCTTGACATGAGGCCGGCTAGGGTATGCGAAGGTAACATCCTCGAAAATAACATCCTGTGTCGAAGAGACTTCAGGCTCCTTCAGAGTACCTTTGGCGGGCTGCGGAGCATCGATAACAATAAAAAATTCGCAGGCTGCCACAGTGGCTTTTCCAACGGCCAGTAACGGCGTAGATGTTCGTTCCAGGGAAAGTACAACAATCATAACAGAGAGCAATACGCTGAAGCTATCAGTACATGATCGTTTAGCATACGGACGGACTCACACAAGAACATCTCCCACGTTATCCAATCTTCCCTCAGAATAGGACTTTGCGCCAAACCAAAAACAAAGGGCGAAACCAGCATATAACCCGAAAAACTATGCATGTCAGCAGCTTCAAGTTCAGCCACCATCCAGGTTACTCACTATTAAACCAAGTTGTCCGCCGACAAGGGGAGAGAGAAGTTTACCGTGTTGTCGAGTTTCTTCAACGAACTGGGCGTATCGCTTGGAAATACGTGATTCTGCACCACACGCGGCCACCATCCTAACACTCGCTAAAGCTTCGCTCGCAACCGCACCAGCTCTGCCCTCTGCCTAATTCTTGGTCAGTACTTGAGGTTTCTGAAGGTAAGGGCACTGAAACCTTTGTGATGAGCGCATTAACTTTGAGTATCATGGGCAGAAATGTGCCCAAGACGAGGAAAAGGTATAGGATGATCGAAGATGTGACAAGAGTCAGGGACCAGTTCTTAACGAATGCTACAATAATCGCAGCTACAACGGTTGAGTTGTATTCAACAAAGGTGCCAAGTTTTTCTGATATGCCTAGCTGCAGGACATTGGCTGTAGAAGTGATGGTGCCTGTGGCATAGCCTGGGGGCATTGAGTCGAGGACATGGATAGATTGACCGAATAGTCTTTGTAGGTAGTGAAGTCTGATGGCGGATGATAGCCTGATGCCTATCATGCGGAAAACGAACTAGAGGTAGTCAGATCAGAACGGGTTTGCATGGACAGTTGATCATACCTTGTTGATAGAGTTGAGCACGAAACGACCCAGAAACAGGGCGAACATATACAACGCCAACTTATCGATGCTTTTGTTGAATTCACTGCGCGATGTTGTGCTGCCTGGCATAAAGTATTCTGTAAAGTTCCCAACAAATTGTCCTAGTGATGTCAGGAGCATTTTCAGAGTTATGAGCGATGAAGATGCTTACCAAAAACCACATTCATTAATGGGAGCGTCTAAGACTTGTTAACTATCTTGTCTTGATACAACGACTTTGATCGACTTACAATCCCTGCTCCAATGCTTGCAATAAATCCTGCAGCATACGCAAAGAAATCCCATTTTGTTGCGTAGGAGAATATTCGCTATAAGTTGTATGTTAAGAGTGTTATTGATGCATGCGCCGCAAGGGAGGGTTACTCACCAAGTAATCTTTGAAATTTGCAGTCCGCTCAGGTCGGACCTTTGCCTTGGCTTGTAATTCGTCTTGTTTTGCATCTTGTGTTGATGGACCTTGAGGACTTGAAGAAGGAGAGTGGGTAGGCTTCTCGATTTTGCCATGATGATCAACAGTCATGATGGCGACGAAGCTAAGACACCTTCGCGTTAAGGGTCTTGGAGAGCAGGTTCAATGTTTCAAATGATGACAATCATGGAGAACGAGGGCTTGTCAAGTTGCACATCAGCGAAAAGAGTGATCTGAGTAAGGAAGAAGAGGAATCGATGGTTGACTGATATAGGCAGACGTCAACTGATGCACCTCATAGGTAGACAGTACAGCCCAGACTCGTATAGTATGTTATTGTATGGGGAAGTCGTTGATACGAGATACGAGACTAACAGGCATTAAAAAGTGGTAATTCTCAACGTGACAAGGGCCTTAAATTGACGGTCGATGAAGCCAAGATACGGTACCTGTGGTGTTCCACGATGTAGGAAAAACAAAAGTATT